AATGCATTTAATCGAGGACACCCCCTTAGTGGCTGTTTGTCAGTTGTATGTATTGATGCGCCTCTGGCGGGCTGACTATGAGGAGTTGATAAAATCAACTCCCAAAAAACCGAAATCCCATGTCGTAGTATGATATAAAAGGTCTGCTGGCACAATAAGATCCCTCACTGCTCAATGGCCTGAGTGCCTAGTGTAGCTCTAAAATTTGCAGCCCTCCAACGGCAAGTGGTCGCGTTTTAATATGAGTGAAAAATTCTCGGTAGGGACATTAAAAAAAAAGGGTTTTGAATATTTTCAACATGTGTTTTCAACGATAGTAAAGCACCTGGTGAGATAATCGATTTACAGAAATTGAAACAAAATTAAGTTGAAACTCAAAGTATTAATTATATACTAAGACACATAATTAATTAAAGTTTAAAGTAAAACTTTTTTTTTACCTATCTGAATACTCTAAAAATTTAAGTGAGGCATTTGCCTCACTTGCCTCCTTGGTAGTTACGGCTTTATCAGCAGATTCTTCTTCGATATATTCCCATGTAAAACTTTGATCACACATTGTGGCCCCATCCTACCCCCGGAGGTCATGATTTGAACAAATTTCAATCAATACTATCTGAGGATCCTTCCAAATAAATATGACTAATCATGATTTTCCTGTTTCTGGGAAAAAGATTTTTAACAATATTTATATATTCCTATGTATGATCACCCACTGTGGCACCTCTCTATCACTGAGGGTCATGATTCGAACAAATTTGAATATACACTACCTGAAGATGCTTCCATATAAATATGATTGATCATAACATGACTTTACTGTTCTTCAGAAGATATTTACAGATTTCTCTGATGTATTCCTATTTAAAACTTTGTTTGCCCATTGTAGCCCCAACCTACCCCTGGGGGTCATGATTTGAACAAATTTGAATATTCACTAGCTGAGGATGCTTCCATATAAATAAGACTAATCATGACTTTCCTGTTTCTGGGGAAAATATTTTAACGATTTTTTTAAATATATTACTACATGTATGTTAAACTTTGATTGCCACTGTGGCACTTCCTGGGATCATGATTTGAACAAATGTGAATATACACTACCAGTGGATGCTTCCATATGAATATGACAGATCATAACATGACTTTGCTGTCCTTCTTCAGAAGAAAACCGGTTTTGATAGCCTAGTGGTAGGGCGTTCGCTACGTGATCAGAAGGCCGGGGTTCGATTCTCGTTCGCCGCGCCACGTCATACCTAAGACGTAAACATATAGGTAGTGACTGTTCCTACGCCAAGCGCCGACACAAGAATTAAATGTTACGGGTCTTTCGGATGAGACCTTAAAAACTGACGCCCAATGTCACGGTATGCGTTGCCACGATAAAGACCCCTCACTGCTCAATGACTCTGTATGCCAAGTATAGGTCTAATTTGAAGCCTATCACCGGTATATGGTGATGTCTCTATATGAGTGAAAAATTCTCGAATGGGACGTAAAACAACATACAATCAATCAATCTTCTTCGGAAGATGATTACAGATTTTCCCTATGTATTCCTATGTGAAACTTTAATTTTCCATAGCTGTCCCAACCTACCCCGGGGGCCTTGATCTGAACAAACCTTTGAACACACTAAATTTGGATGCGTACATATAAACGACTGATCATGGATTTGCTGTTCTTCTTCAAGATTTTTTTTTCAATTTTTTCTTATGTATTCCTATGTAAACATTTGATTGCCCATTGTGGCCCAACCCTACCCCATGGGGGTCATGATTTGAATAAATTTGAATATATACTACCTATGTATGCTTCCATATAAATATGACTGATCATAGCTTTGCTATTCTTGAGAAGATTTTAAAAGACTTTTCCTATATGTACCCATGTTGCAGACATGTAGGGTATGAGGAGAGGGGCACTGTAAGAATACTGGACTAATTATTTTAGGAAAGTAAATCGTATGTGGATTGCGTCTTGTATCAAAGGATCCTGCATATTTGGAAGTTTTTGTTTATCTTGGATGTGAAATGCATCTCTTTTAGATTAGTGACAATTCTACATGGGCGCCTAGTGAAAATGACCGTAAGAATAGATAGTATCAACATGTATTTTGAAAAAGCAATTTTAATTGAACAATCGAATATAAATTGAAAATTCGACAAGAATGCTGTACAATCGCAGTCAAAACAGGCATGGGAAAGGTGGTGTTTTGAATTCGGGAAAAGAATTTAGTCTGGAAAATTCATCTGATGTAATATCTTTAAGTTACAGTTAATGTTGATGACAAATATTCTAATAATGTGGATTTTATATCTTTGATTTGTTGCTGAACAGAATTGTATTGTGAATTTTGTGTTGGGTAGAAGTTCAAGACCTATACAGTTAAATAAGGCATAAAAAAGGTGGAACAGGAGTTCCACACAAAATGTTGTGTTGTTCAATTCATCACACTAACAGTGGGTCAGCCATTACGGAACTAATTTTATTAAGTGTGCATGCTGCTGTGTAATCTAACATACAAACCAAAGATAAAACAGATCGGAATACATCACATACCCCCCCCCCCTCCCTTCTTGAAAATGTACATATTTTTCAAGGTTTTACAGTTATTATTATTCTTCAATAAAATTGTAGCGAAACTTTGACTAATTTAGAGCCAATTTCATTTGAAGTTGCTGAAAATGTTCCTGGCTTTTAATTTTATGAAAAGTTACTTAGCTAAGAAAACATTATATATAATATGACTAGAAACAATGAATACATGTGCACACAACAAGTACTGATAAACAGAAAGAACCTCTGGTTCTTACTGATTACATGGAAATTATTATGCTCCCAACACTGTTTAATCAGTATAATATTCACAAATTTAGTTTCTTAGGGGCCTGTCTCTCCCTTTGTGGATAGCGTCGAGCATTTGGAGTTGGCACAATCACGGAAGATTCTTTCGACACCACAGGAGTATTCAATACATTTGGTGAACAAGATGTGTTTGTGAAACACTGTGCTCCCGATGGTAACACAATTCTGGAGTGGGACGTAGACTACAGTGCAATAGTTATGGCCAATGTTAAAGTTTTTCAAATGTAGGTCAAAGGTCACAGTTGAGGTCACATGATCAAAAATTTCTGTACCAATGGAAAGGTCTTGTCATAATGAACACTCATGTCAAATATTAAAGCCTTATCTTGGCAGCGCAATAGTTATTGGCTAGGTTAAAGTTGAAAACAGACATACAAACAGACAGACAGGACAAAAACAATATTCCCCCGGGATCTTTCGATCCGGGGGCATAAAAAGCATCTCTGGCCATAACCTTCTGTCCTTCTTTAAACTCTCTGACATTGGAATGGAGAGTTTCATCTGGTCCTGTCCTAATAATACTGAATCATTCAAATTTAGTTTGATCATATCCAGTCGTGTTTGCAAAATGAGTCCCAAAAGTAGCTTAGCAGGTGTTTCATTGTTTAGTGAATGTGGTGTTGTATGGTATTTGAATAAAAAATATATTCAGTTTTTGTTGCATGGATGTATGGTCTCCCTTTGCACTTTTCATTGCCTGTTAGTTGCTCGGCTTGCCCGTTTGTTCGTGGATGATAAGGCGCAGATGCAATGTGTTTGATGCCATTTTGTGCGAGAAAATTGCGAAATTCTTCAGAAATGAACTGGGGTACATTATCAGACACATAGGAAGTCCAAGTTGGGAATTTCTCAATGGTGTTTGTCGTCGTTGTTGTTTTCATTGGAAAGATCTCTAACCATTTAGAATGCGCATCTACGATGAGTAGGAACACAGAGTTCATGAAAGGTACGGCAAAGTCTATGTGTAGGCAGTCCAAGGGTTCCTTCGACCAGTCCCAAGGATGCAGCAAGCAGTCTATGGCATGTTGCTATGCTGCTGGCATCCACAGCAGGTGGAACATAAGTTTTCAAAATCTTGATCAATTTTACACCACTTTTCAAATGATCTTGCGATAGACTTCATTTTGACGATCCCAATTTGACCCTCATGCAAATCTTGTCAAACTGTCTCCAAGTTTATCTGGCACAACAGGATTTCCGCTACTTTTCGTCTAAATTTCGGGTGCTTATTATATCTTATCAATTAGACGATTGGTGATTTCCACGCATTATCGCTACACATACAAATCAGCGTGTGATGGCACAGAATATGAGTTATATTCAATATAATTCAATTACAAAGTAGTCGAAGTTGAAGTACAATTAAGTTTAAGTTCTATTCAATATAATTTCAGCCTGCAATCTAATACGATAAGACTTTCATAACGAAGCAAAGCAGTCAGCTTATTCATCAAAGGTCACAAGTGTTCCAGGACAAACAGTTCAACAAACTACGAAATTAATGATGCTGTCAAATAAAACTTTGTAAATAAAGCACAATAAAGAGGGGTTGTTTTCTTAACATTTATTCATTGAATGTTATATACTACATGTATCATGAGATAATATGATTTCAAAATGCAAACAGGAAAAAATGCTTCCAAAATATTTGACAAGTGTACTGAAACCGTGGATATTTACGCATGTTGTAAATAATACGAATTAGTATCAAACACATTACGCTTGGGATTTTTTTTCCGCGATACCAAAATACTGAATAAAACATGTATAAAGACATGTATTACCAACGGAATAATTACGCGAAATCTTTCATTATATCGCGTATAATTAGCATGAATTACCCCAATATGTAAAATTCCACATTTACAGTATCTTAAAAGCACTACTATCAGTTATTTGCACCATAAATGTAACTGATATTGCACTTGCACGTATTGAATCATAAATATACAAAAATAGAATAACATTGTAATTACGAAAATATTTTACGTAATGAAACTTGCCGCCTTCAATAATGGAGAGCAAGTATGAGGTGATCAATGCTCTAGCGTCAATAAAGAATGACAGAAATGGTCTGCCATTTTGACAGTAAGTCATTAGGACAAAGTTAAAATATTTCAAATAGTCCTTAACAATGCATTGTCTCTTGTGAATTTCACAAAATGGTTGCTTTATTGCGCATAAGGTTGCATTATTATCATATAATGTGAATCATGCGTCCTCCTCTTTGCTCTTATTCTTCATATTTACAGCGCCCTCTGACGAGTAATACATTGCGTTCTCGAATCCCCCGACCCCCTGGCCAGCACTACCTGCCGGAAACTGTCTTCTTTTAAGGAATATGATTCCAAAGGCAAAAAGCCCCAAAATAAAGATGATGGCAACTAGCAGACCTGCCAGTCCCCCTGCGGACAAACCGCTACCTGGAATAAGAAGAGAAAATCTCTCTTAAACATATAATGTGCTTAAAACAATTCTGATTGCACAAATGATATCCATTGAAGAAGACAATTTGAAGGAATGGTAAATAATTTCTTTCGTCTTATTATGGAGGAAAAAGTAATATAAATGATTTTTTTATTTTATACAAAATTTTATTTAAAAAAATGAATGGGATTGGGCAGCAGGCAAAGCCTATTTTAGCCCTCTCTCTAAAACAAGGTAAACACACACTATACAGGTATAATACTAATTAAACAAACACTGCAAGAAAGAAACAAGGAAGAAGGAGGAAAAAATACAATAAATTAAAATGATTAAAGATTTAAGATATTAATGGTTGAATATTATTTTCAGTTTGAAAACTTGTTATTTTATACCCTATTGGCATATTTTGCCGTTGGATCTTCATTAAATACGACTTTCTAGTATACTGACATGAATTTTAATCTAGTACTACGTTACTTTCTTTGACTGGAAAACGCATTACTTACTACTTGACGTTGAAGTCTGTTGTTGAGGGGCTGCCTTTGGGTTTCCTACTCCCTGTGGCTGAGTGAGAGGTTGGAGGGTCTGTCGACTGGGAGTGATTCGGTTGGTTGGGAAATTTGTGGTTGGCAGAGATGCCCATGGATTGTATCCTGTTGTACCTGGATTCGGATTCAGTGGAGGAAGATTTCCACTTGTCAGCTTGAACCCTACAGTACTCATCTCTGAAAAAGAAATATATAATTTATACTCATGGATCCCTACAAGTATACTCTTTGATAAGTTTACTCGTTAAAAATTTAACTAAAGCTTTTGAATTTTATTATGTAACTCGTATATATAATAAAAGTATTAATTTTTACTAAAATTATTGGTATGAAATACCGTCAATCAAATTGAAATAAAGATCTAAACATGCAAAATGAGGGTAATGAACTTATCTTATACAAAACTTTTTTCTCTAAATTATATAAGGACAAAATAGATATGTACGCGCTGCTTTCTTGCAGACGTATCTCCGTTTGGTGAAGCATGTGACATCATTCCATTTTCCGCTGTTGGTGTACATCTCCACACATTCCTCCTGAGAGGAACTCATTGCGTCAGAGGGCTCTCCTTTGTCCCAGTTCAGGAAATTGACAGCGGATCCGTCCTTCCACTGGAATCCGTCTGGAGAAAAAAGACATGAAAAAGGATCATCAAAATTTATGTTGTTTTTTCTGAAAACATCGCCTGCAAACAGATTCCATACAAACTCCTCTTTGAATAACTTTTTATTGACGAAGGAACTCGCCTCGTTTAACATGTTTTAATAGAAACATTTGCATTCCATTTCTGAAAGAACAGCAAATTTTGTTTTGGCCTGTATTTTGACAAGAACAAATTCACAGAAGTACATGTAGCTGTGGTTTGGGATACTTTGGTATTTACTTCAAACATTTATCTTCATACCTGAGAATCCCTTGGTCATTCCTAACCAGATATTTTCGGCAAATCTTGGAGCTGTTTCTCCTGGCTGTGCTTGATAATTCTGGAATCTTTGGAGAATAACATTCATTTCAGCTAGAGAGTGAAAACTGGCCAGTTCCATGCCCATTCTCTCACACATGTAGCTAGCCTCGGGCCAGGTCTTTGTTTTGAAGCCTGATATATAGTAACAGCCTTCTCCAACAGCAATAGGAGCAGACCCGTCACAGCTTAATGAGGACTGTGGAGGAGTTGGAAGTGGTGTGTCTAGAATTATCAAAAAAGTCATGCATTTGTTTTTTATGTTTTTTTTATTCATATATAAAGCAATATGACGACCAAGCAAATCAATGAATTCTTATTTCTTTTTTTTCGAAATTTATGAAGACTTAAATAAATTTTACGTCAGACTAATGTTTCTTATTTGTAAAATAGGCACTAGAAGAAAGCTTACTGTTGTTGATGTGACAGACAAATCCCAACTGTTGGTTACATTGTGTATCGTTCCATTTGTGATTCATGATTGCAACGCATCCCTCGCCGGCCCCCTTTGTCGGCTCCCCAGCCCCCCAATTTGTGTAGGTGACTGGCCAGCCAGATTGTACCCACGTATATGTACCAGAAGACTAAAACAAAGCATTTTTAATTTTCTAACAATACCCATTAAAATTTTGCAAACCTTTGCAATTTACATAGTGTGAAATAACATTAGGGATGGAGTGTCGAGTGACATCGGACTATCAACACGAAAAAGCTTAAAAACCTGTGATCTTTACAAAGCACTTAAAACGCAAGAATTTAAAATTATTTTTTTAATACATCTATTGAAAATTCTATTCAGTCCTTACGGTCTTGTCCGCCATTCCTATCCAATATCCGTTAGGAGCAAGGTCTCCCGCCAGAGACTGAACGAATCCATCCTCATACACACTGCTCATCACCACTAGCTGCGCACTGTTCTGCTGACACACTTGTTGCGCCTGCGCCCAGGAGCCAGCAGCACCATTTGGCGGGAAATATCGATAACAACTAGCTCCGAATGCAGAAAATCCCGAGGGACAAGCTCCCTGAACGGAAGTTACAGCCACACCGGACTCTGCAGGGGTAAGATTTCTGTTGTAGTCAATTTGAAAGCTAATTCAATCAAGTCAAAGGATATTAATGTTATGTATTTTAGAATAAGATTGTATATTTTGAATTTTTAATTACATGATAGGAATCAAAATTTTAAGCTTGGTTTCCAAGAATTGTCATTTTCATAAGTCAAACTTCAATTTGAAAAAAAAGACATTTATGGCAATATTTTAAAGTTTATATGTCAATCAAATGCTCGTATCAAGAATGGACAGACTGCAAATTTTTAATATATAAACAACTGTGCAAGGGTGTTCGACAATGTGAAAGTGTGAAAAACAAGAATGTAGGTAATATATTCGGCAATATTATATACTGCTTTTCTGGGACTTCTGCAAGGCAAGATAAATCATTATGGTTTTAGATTATAAAGATTCACAATCCAAATACACCAAACTGTCTGAACAATGTTCAGCTTCATTTAAAAAATATTATGTCTTGGAAATATAAATGCGATTAATAGTGTTCTGTGCACTATTTGTATATCATTGGCACGTGTGTAATGCCTGTGTTGATGAAAAAACATGAGAAAGAATTTTAAATCAACTGAAAATATTCAAGAATGCAAATTCTTATTTTTAATCTTTTTTTGTTTTTTTTTTTTTTTAAATTTCAGGTCCATTTCTGTTTTAATATTTCTATCTATAAAATATTTATCAACAATGAATTTTCCGATACCAAAGAAGATAGAGACAATTTAGGTTTAAATTAAATTCCAAATGATTGAACTTAAATTAGGATAATAAAAGTAAATGAAAATAAGTTGAAATAATGAGATGAAGAGCATGATGAGTGCTCTTTAGCGTAAACTGCAATGTGCAGTAACGTGATTTGATGTGGCTTACGTCGATGTTGTTGACAAACAAAATTTCGCAGTGCGCCACATTGTTTATCATTCCATTGACCAGCCGCGCTGCTGGAGGCGTACATTTCCACACAACGCTCCTGTACAAATAAGATTGGTGCACAAATAAGGACAGACCAAAGCAGTAACACATTGAAACAAGTAATACTTCGCAAACAGTGACAGAACATTCCCCCAAAATCTACCACACTTCCTTCTTTTTTTAAGAAATTGCTTTCAAATTAATTTCTGTCTCCGTATTAAAGATTTTTCTTTCCACGATATCGTGTGCATATATATCATTCATAACATTTTTAAACTGTTAAATTAGAGAAAGTATGGTAAAGTACGTTTTTTATTCAAATCAACAAAGTCTGCTTCATTCTTGTGTTTGTCGCTCTGAAAACAAAAGTACAAAAAGTCTCAGAGGCTTCATCGCCAGTAACTTCTGCAGCTGAAAATCAATGTTTATAACTTGGGACTGTGATTTCTAAACTTGAAGACAGTAGTTGCAGTGCATGATGGGAAATGCCTCGTGACTTACGCCGATGTTGCTGGCACACAAAGCCTCGGTTCTGACCACACACCGCGTCATTCCAACGCCCCGCCCTGTCAGAATCTATATATAGCTCGGCACAATCTTCCTGGGAAACAAGTCATGTACACCACAAAAATAAGCTATTATTTTAAATGCTAGCTATAGTCCCAGCTAAGTATGACCTACAAGTCAATTCCTGTAGCCATTTTTCAAATTGAGGAGAAAAGCAAGACAGTCCCACATACATATTTCTTCTTTTACGAATTAATGAATCTTCTCAATAAAACCCGAATTTTTATCTTTTATTTATTTGTAAGTGTGAATTTCTGTGAATAATTATTCCACTAGAGTTGGAAGGTCAAAAGTTCTGTACCAACTCCTTGAAATAGATTCCCTTACTCCTTGAAATAGATTCTCTTATGTGTTTTCTTTCGTGTTTAAACTTGAAGTAAAAGCCATCTTTAAATCATTTTTCAAAATAAGTTTCATTTGACTTACGGTAGTTTTAAGCAATACTTAAAAAGTTTTCTATGAACTGGAGTTGTACAAAGCAAGTTAAATTTGAGTATTACACGTAAGATCTTCATATCTTTGATAGTGGAGTTGTATATATTCCTATTTCAACATGACAGCAGACCATAGTGAGGGTCATACATAATTAAATGTAGTTTTAAGCCATCAAGGTTATTTACCGAGTTCCACTTGACGTTGGAGCCGTCAGGTGCGTTGTTAGGTTCTCCTTTGTACCAGTTGACGAACGTCAGAGGAGAGTTGTCTGCCCAGTAGAACCTGCGTGACTGACGCAGATCATTGAGACCAATCCAGAGGGTCAGTCTGGGATCTTTATCATACAGCATCGAATTCAAAAATACTAGAAAAAATTAAATGAAACCCATTCTTTTCTAACTTGATATTTAACAAGAGGTCCATGGGACCTTGACTGTCATCCAATTATCATTATTAATCTCCTTGATTCTCATAAGTTAGATTTTTTAAAGAGTAAAGTTCATGGACATTTTTGCTCCCGTTTTATTTGCGCCCCTTTTCGCCCTCTTCGCAAGTAAGCTAATTTAAAACGAGGCGAAATCAAAGAAGACAGAGTTATCTCTTTAACACAAACGTATCTGAGTTATTTTAAGATGATGCGAAAACGTTTGCTAAATGTGAAAGGACAATAAAAAAAAACTATATATATTAATGCCTTTTACACATATTCTTAACAAATTTGTTTCAGGACCTCTTCATATTTGGTGCAGTGTCAGTATTTACTTACATGTACCACATTTCCAGTAATTTGGACAAATGGTTGATCATTCTGAAGTCAAATTAAAATAATAGGAAAATGTCTCGCAGATATCTCTTTTCAATATATTTTAGCGACTTACATTGTTCCTGAAGACTGCTGATGGTTGCTAGAGACGCTCCTGGATACGCAGTCTGACACGCAGATACAGCACTCGTCCAATTCACTTTGTTTTGGACAATGAAATAACATCTATTGGCTAAAAACAATGGTTAAACTTTATCAAATATGTTAAAAAGTTACTTTTTTACTTCCAACCTGAAAACATGATATCAGATTTTGAAGACTACGAATTCACACCAATTTTATGTCGCTTTCTTTCTCCCTTTCTCATCTGGTTTTTAATGTTAAATTATTCGAAGTGAATTGTATCTAATGTAGCATATCTCTCAAAGATATCTAGACGATCGAGAAAGAATTAATTGCATCAAGGGTCAACTAGACTGGCACGTTCTGTTATCTTTATATCTGACAGAATCACTTAGAAAATTGCATTTTGAATGTCTGTTGGTCTTTAGAAAACTGCATTTTGAATGTTTGTTGGTATATAACACTGCATTAATTTTTGACATGTTGTGAAACTTACAATGTGGAACGGGTTTGAAGTTGGAATTTGGACATCCGGCGGCGATGACCGCAGTGGTTCCTGGGTTGATTGGTTTGGTACTTCCGGTCACTGGTCTCTTACATATAAAGTTTTTCTTCATGTTACAGTTGTCATCGTTCCATTCTGTTAATGATTGTACATAGAATTAATAAATTTTTAAAGTTTATATTCTGGAAAAGAGTTTAAAATTTATGTTGAACTATATTGTAACAAAGGGGTTGTCAATGAATGAAAAAATCATCAATTACTAGAAGTACTCAAATAATTATTATAGATCACGTTATTATGACTAATATTCAATGTGTTTTCTTTGCAGAAAAGAAATTTGTATTGCAGAAGTTGGTAAATAAAAATCTTACTTCCGCCTGTCCAGTAGGGCATCGTGACACAGTTTTCCCCTCCGCCATAATCATTGGGTTCATGAGGACTCCAGCTGACAAAGTCCAAAAGGCTACCGTCTGTCCACCTAAATAGCGCGAAATTCTTAAGGCCAGATAAAAAACATGGATACGTTTTGAATGCACGTACAAATGGAGTAGTCTTCTCAAAATAAAAGCAAATATTTTAGCTATTAAATTACATGTCTTTCAAGCACCCTGTAATTAGGATTAAACAGATCATATTCATATAATATGTATTAGCTTATAGAGGTGAGAATTACTGCGAAGTTTCACATTCAAGAATTCTTCGCAAAATCCACGGAAAGCTATTTTCAACTCAAATTTGTTTTGCACAACCTATGGTTTTGTTTTTTTACAATTGTTGATAAGGTATAGACAACTCACACATATTTGCTGTTATACTCGATGTCATTGAGTCCAATCCAGTAGTCCACCGTTCGTTTGGTCCTGGTATACTTAAATATAAAAGTATCACGTAATTCATTCGTTCAGTATTGACTTATCGCTACATCTCATCTTGCAGAATCAAGAGATTTGAATTTCTGTCAAATTTTGCAGCAGAACTCAATTCGTTGGTAATACGTCAGTGAAAATCGTCCCAAATCGCTCAATTGAGACTATTACGATCAACATATGCAGAGTATAAAACGAAAAAAAAAAACGTTATCAGACATGTACCGTATAAGCAACAGTAACTAAAGAACCGTTTCAGTAACGATTGAGAGTCCTGTAATCGAATCCGTATGAGAAAGTGACGGAACGGTTTACAAACGTTCCGAGTTATTATCGTGTGGTCGGTGTCCAGAGCATGTCAGATTTGTATGTTTCACGACCGGCAATTATCCAGTTGTAACTCAGGACTAACGGACATCAACCAAAGCAGTCCGGTCACGTACAGAAAAAGAAGCGAATGCAGTGGCGGATCACAGATTCTTGAAAAGGAGGGCCTGGGGCAACCAGTTTGAGGTCGGGTGAAGCTCCCGGAAGCTCTCTGATTTAAGAAGTTTTTTTTTGAGAAATTTTTTGACTTGCTTTAGCTATATTTGAGATATTATTAATGTAATATCCCAAACCAAAAAAATGATTTATATATTAATCTTATTTATATTTTTGGTCACAAGGGGGAGGGGGGGGGGCTACCCCCTCTTACATGTAATCCGCCAGTGGAATGAGTTCTGTAAGAAAAATATATGCAAACGCAAACCTACCGTACTTTAAACGGAACTACCGTTTTTAGTCCGGTGGTGTCCGTGCATGTTTTGAACATGCTCAAAATTTTCCGCTGAATAAAACAAACTTCACCGGACCTCTCCGGAAATTGAGCGTATACTACTAGGTTTTCACCAAATGAGAAACGGAAAAGAAACATATACATGTATATGTATGCAATTAAGCAAATGGAGGCGAACAGATTGAAAATTTTTCCTTTCATTTTAATTCCGGTAAATTGTAAACAAGTCCTTAATTTTACCTGTCCAACTAGCATGTTGTCTTCATCTTGACTGTGAATGCTTGCCAATTCTGCCCCCATTTGATTACAAGTGGATCTAGCATCAAACCAAGTCAAGAGCGTGGAGCCATTACCAGTGTAATAACAGAACTGATTATAGAGGACCCATCCTGTCCCACAGGCTCCAGCTGTAGAAACACAACATAACATCTTCATAATATTTTTTAATGAAATCTGCATGGAAACGCTGTAGAAAATTAGTGGTTATTGTCTTTATGCTGTATATTGGGACGTAGCTAGGGAGTGTTTAATGTGGAAGCAAATCAAGGCAGGGGGGTTGGGGGCCGCCTTAAGGCTCCCAATGGGTCCAGGGCAAAGCCCTGGTTGGGGCCCAGGGGGTGAAGCCCTTTAATTGGAAGCTGGCAAGTTTTCAGCATTTCTGACACTTAATTTTGAGTATCTAGAAAAAAGAGTAACATTAAAATAATCCGAGTTTTAACGTTTAAAATGCTTATTTCCTCATCATGAAATTAACGATAAAGAAGAAAAGTATTGCCTGATTTATGATGGGATTTAATTTTTGTTTTATAATAATAATAATAATAATAATAATAATAATAATATTATTATTATTATTATTATTATTTTGTGAAAATGATGTAGAAGCACTTGCGTACGCCTAGCTACGCGCCTGATTAAGAATATTTGGAAGGCAGTTCCGATTTGGTTTTCTTCGTTTCGCAATTCTATTTAATTCAAAGATAAATGTTAATATTCTTGTAGGATTGTAGTATTTCAGTACCTCTTTTACGATTTTTATTGCTTTTTACCATAAATTGGCAATTCTAACGATTTCTGTAACTAGTACAGGATCAGAAATAATGGAGAGAGGAAGACTTACATGATGAGGCTGTAGGAAGAGCTGCTGTTGTTGAGAGTTGCACCCCTTTAGCGACCTTACACACTAACGGCTTACTGAAGAAGCAGTTGACGTCATTCCAACCTCCGCTGCCACGAGTCAGTTCTACGCAATCTTCCGTATCGGCGAAGTTATTCGGTTCTCCTCGATTCCACTGGGTGTAGTCTGTGGCACTTCCGTCTGTCCACTTGTGTCCTAAAATGACAAAGATTTGATGCTCAGTTTGTTAAATCGACCATTCAGAGGAGCCGGACAACATTTCAAACGAGTACTTACCGCTTTCGATGTCTCTGTCATTCAGTCCGATCCAGCTGTTGACGGATCCCGATCTGCATAAGGAAATAATTAATAATAAAACAAAATTAATAAAATCATCAGACTATTTTCTTAATCTTTACAACTTATGATTTTTCCTTCATTTTTTAAAATGACATTAACAACAATTAAGACTTGGAAATAAATTATTTAAACTTAAAGAGAGCTTGCAATTTGCTGCTTTGATACTTTTAATCTAAGAAAACATGATTTTCCTCCAGCTTACTGTGTAAGAGTCTGAATAAAACTGTTTTCCCCAGCACTGTGAACACTGGCCAAGTCTCCTCCGTAACCTCTACAATAATCCCTGGCCTGGTTAAACGACATCCACTGGGTATTGTCCGTCAGTCCTACCGCCTGTTACAAAAGCACATTTGTAAAATTTGTTTCTCTTATTCCTTCGTAGATTATTATAACCCAAATGTAACTTATTAATCTACACTACGTCAAAATTCTGATACAGATTCGCTTTAAAAAGATTCAGGGTTATATATATCAAAGATGATAAATTCTGCACCAATACAGGACAACGCTGTATATGATGTAGTTCTATTTACCTGGTAACAGTACGACTGGTAGCTGCTGTAACCCCCGGGGCAGGGTAGATTGGCTGGAGGTTGTGTGAGGGCGGGGGTGGTGTAGCCTTGTCGAGGTAGCTGGCAAATAAAGTGGTGCTGGTCTGTGCAATTCAAATTCTGCCAAAGTCCTTTTGGATGACGGCTTGTTAAAGCCACGCAAGACGCAATTTCATTTCCTAAATATTCAGTCTTTTTTTTTAAATGCAGAAGTTTAAAAGGCACAATTTTTCTTATATATATCAAAAAAGAAATCAAAATTTTGTACAAACTGGTTAAGAATTATTGCAAAGGACTAGTACCGTACCAGTATGGGTAGCGACCCAGTTTGAGTAGGTGACTGGTACTCCGCTGATCCACTTATAAGTTCCCTGGGTCTGGGTGTCCGACAATCCGATCCAGAAGTAATCTGTCTGATAGGACATGTAAGCAGATAGGAAGGCTTCTGTGAATCTGTTAAAAAGCCATTCATCAGGAGACATAAATTAACATTTACTTTAAACCTCCTCTGGTGATAAGTATTGAAACAGATTCCATTTTAGTATTACAATATTACAATTTTTTTTTAAATGACCAAATTTTATATGCAGGCTGGGAGAGAGAGAGAGAGAGAAGGGGGGTCTGTATATCATACAAGGAAGCAGACAAGTTTTTGAAATAATTAATATAGTAACAGGGCTCTAATTGGCGACTATTTTAGTCGCCATGGCGCCTAAAATTTTTCATTGGCGCCTAAAATTTCTTCATAAGTCGCCAAATTGGCGACCGTTTTAAATTGACTTGACGCTCGTCAAAAATTTTTATGCCCCTGGATCGAAAGATCCTGGGGGTATATTGTTTTTGTTCTGTCTGTCTGTTGTCAACTTTAACCTAGCCCATAACTATTGCGCTGTTAAGGGTAAGGCTTTAATATTTGACATGAGTGTTCCCTTTCCATTGGTACAGAAATTTTTGATCACGTGATCTCAACTGTGACCTTTGACCTACATTCGAAAAACTTTAACATTGGCCATAATTATTGCACTGTAGTCTACGTCCCACTCCAGAATTGTGTTACAATTGGGGGCATAGTGTTTCACAAACACATCTTGTTTTTACAATTTTTTCCTAAAGAGAGAAAGGAGGTTAAAAAGTTTGCAATGGACATATTTTGTGTTTTCTTGTCACCTTTTCTTAGTCATGCACGTGCGAACGAAATTTCGCATCGCGTCAACTGGTGCACACAGAGGTCAGGTAGACCAGATAAGACAATAGCTGCCCCTGGTAATTAATCGACAGTTGTAAAAAGCAGTGAACGGTTGATGTGGTTAATCGTTTTCAATTATTAAATTCTCACTCGTTAGAGATATCGTCTTGCCATAAAGTTAGGTAATTGTATACGGACGAGCATAAAATGTTAATTGTGTAAACAATCATTGATATTATTGTATTTTAAAAGAATATTTCATGAGATCCAAGATCGATTAAAACTTTTTGAATATGAGTTTTACTTTGTTGCAAACCACAACCAAAAAGTATACGATCCTCTCCAATTCAGGCCGGTAGGAGAGAGCTATATATGGGGATATCGGACAGTGGTTGAGACGATGAAGTTTTACCTGCATGCTTAAGTTAAAACCTTTTGTTATTTAATGACTTACAATTGTTGTTAATTTTTTCTTAATGACTGCAATAGACCCCCTTTCCTTCACTACCCCAAATGGGTCTGTATATTGACCAATATCAGCTTTTAAAATTGGCGCTTAAGAAAAGCTTGCCTGACAACTGAAATTTTGCTCTGGCGAGTATATACTTAGTATTTAAATGGATTTTAAAAGGTTTCCTTGTTAACTCAAGCAATGCCACAATACATTCGAAAACATGGTGCAATTTTTAATGATATCACCTGTCATTTATAGCGGCTAGTGTCCCTTGGAATGCATTGACACAGACTTTCTGAGCATCCTGCCAAGTTTTGGTTTGGTAGACGAATCGGTAACAGTAGCTTCCATACCCGTAAGCTGGCTACGAGTAAAACAAAACATTTCGTTTCAAATCTCGTTTATAGATATTTGTAGATGGTTATTTAAAGTAAAGTAAAATACAGTGTATATGAGAAGATAGATGTCTTTTCTTCATAAGCATTGATAATTAATGACATTACAAATAGAAATTGCGCACTTCTAAAAAAGACAAGCAAAAATTATCTTTCGGGATAAAAGCTAAAGAAGAATACACATTTTATGAAAATTAACCCGAGTGTATATTCTCAATATTTTAGCATAATTATAATTTTGAAAAATATAGCTTCCAAAACCATAGATAAGAAACTTAATGTACATGGAAGAAACATGTTTTCTAGAAAATACAAACTCTGGAATAGCCTGGCATGCAACCTTTACGGCAAGGTTTGCCGATAAGGTCTGGGCCAGAGCTAACCGTGGAAACAACCCCTACACAAGTTTTAACCGTAACCCCTCCCCCTGCCATTATCAATAATGAGGGACTGAAGCGACAACATACCCAGGTACAGCCCACTGATTCGGGTTTGGGCGTGGCAGACATCAAGGTCATTGGTTTTTTACAAATAAAGCCATCAGCTGGATTTTGACATATGGCATCGTTCCATTGTCCATTCTATTTATAAAATGAAGGGAAAAAAATCAAATTAATAAACTGAAGTAAGTCAATAAAATTGTGTTTATCTACAAAGAAAAAATACTTCTTCACTTCTACTTTTTTTCATTGAATATAGTCATGTAAAATACGCCAAATAAAAAATTTCCTATATATTTTAGTTCTTCTTATCTTTCTCTGTGCAAAGAATTTCCTGTGAAACAATTTAATTTAGTGTATCTGACGGATTTAAAATCAGAAATCTTACCAAAGGAGAAATACCTGAGCTGTGAGTAACAAAAATAAGATTCTCTATAAAAAGAACTTTGACTTCGGGATTTAGTTTCAGATATACGTACCGTACTAAGCATGAGAACGCAGTCTTCATTTTTATGGCCATAATTATTAGGTTCGCGAACCGCCCAGTTTGTGTACAGTACAGGACTCCCATCAGACCAAAAGAAAGTCATCTGGTTCGCAAGGTCGTTTAGTCCGATCCAGTAACCATATCCGCCTGAACAAGAAGAACCATTAAATCAATTATTATTCCTTATTTTGGTAACAAATTTTTCGAGTACAAAACCCTATACCATCCATTTTAAAAAATGCTAAAAAAAAATCTGATCTTAACTATCACTTTCTTAGTAATAACATCAACAATCATTTTCTTAGTAATCACATCAGATACAAAATTCTACAATATCTGCCAGCAACTACATGCAACCTTCAATGAACGAACCAGGCAGACAAACTTTGCCTATTAATAATTACTTCCTCAATAATTGTTATTAGATATGGAATAACATAAGTTACATGTCACATTACACCACATTACAAATAACAATCAAATACTAGAGTATATGATAGCGCAGTAAAATGGAAACAAAAAATTCAATGATTAAATGCATCCGATTGCAAAACATTTTAAAGTGAATCCAAGTATGGAAAGAAGATGTAAATCTCACGCTTTGGAATCATGGTCATGACGAAGTTTTGCTCTTCCCTACTGTTTATAGTGGCTAGAAATGACCCTTGACGATGGCAAAAACTTTTTGCAGCGGCCCAGTTCTGTCGAATTTGCCACAGGTGATAACAGTTTCCTTGGAAAGGCTTGTAACCATCTTGGCATCCCATGACATACCCGTTTTTGGTGACCACAGGAGGGGGAGGGGTAGTGGTAGTCCGCTGGCTGGCTGAAAGGGGAACCAAAGGTCAAAGGTTATCAACAGCGAGTCGAATGGTGCCATCAGAAGGAAATTGTTGTCATAGAACGGACAGTGATAAACATAATTTTAAAGTTTAAAAAAAGATTTGGAAAATACATGTATAGAAAACATGATAATAGTTTTGTTTGAAAAAACTTTCTAACTGCTGATCCTACCTTTATCACAAACAAAAAATCACAACAATGAAAAGAATCCAATGTTCAGTAAATGATTAAAAATTGCAAGTCTGACTTAATCTTGTACTTTAGGAGATAAAAGATGAATTAATTTTAGTGTTGTCAACGAGTACCCGGTTAACCGGTTAACCGTCGAACGATGCAAGTATCGATTAGTAAAACTGCTATTCGGTTACTCGGATATAAAGTCATTTTACAGTGTAAATAAGACTATCCGAGTAACCGGGTACTCGATCGGAAAAGTAAGCGAGTAACCGGTTACTAAAAATCGTCCAATTTGACAACACTAATTAATTTATTTCATAAGAACCTTTCGCATTATTCAAGTACTTTTGGAATTTACGGATGTATTCTGCTGAGATAACTTGTATTTAACTTTTCACTTTTGGCACTTTATTTAGATGTATTCTTTATTAGAAAAAAAAAATATAAAGTAGAAAAATATGAGTTAGTGAGCATATTTTTGAGATACAAGACATTGAAAATATGACAGAAACCAGACTTCTTGGGATTTTTCATGGAAAATGAATGAGATATTTCTTTCTCTGAAAACATATGATCATGAAGTAAACCTCCCTATTTTTTTAGATGACTAAAACTACAAATTTAAGAATAAAAATGCAAAAAATAATAGGTGGTTAGTGGGCAAAAATATTATGCATATTTTGATGGATAAAACCAGAGGAGTTCCGTAAAAATGGCTGTCACCACTGGTTCCTTAAAAATTCGCTGAATTCGACATTTTAAGCAAATGAAAAGAACTAAACAAGGAAAGATTTGGAATATAAAAATCCGGATTAGACAAGTTTTAATATATTATCTGTAAAACCAATTATTTTTTTACTGCTCTTTCAATCATTTCTTTTAATTTTTCAGATATTTACATTGCTTTTTACAGATGAAGCCGTTCCTGCCGGAACATGGACTGTCGTTCCAGTAGGAAGTGGAAGTATAAATGTTGCCACAATCCTCGTTCCTATTTCTGTAGTTGTTAGGCTCACCTGTTACAGAATACCATAATAAATTAGTCCTACATGTGCAGGCTGAAAAAGTGACGCTATAAAAACATAACTATATGTACCTTCTGTAATATAAAATGTGAATTAAATATAACTGGTTAAGATGAGATATTACCATTTTCTAAGTTAAGGTAAAATAAAACCATTTATCCAGTTAAGGTAAAATATAACCATTTGCCCAGTTAAGTAAAAATATTACCATTTGCCCAGTTAAGGTAAAATATTCCCATTTGCCCAGTTAAGGTAAAATATAATCATTTGCCTAGTTAAGGTAAAATATAATTTGCCCAGTTAAAGTAAAATATAATCATCATTTGCCTAGTACAATTTTACCATTTGCCCAGTGGAGGTAAGCTACGGGTGAACCGTCAACCCATATAAATTTGTTCTCCGTCGCTCTGTCGTTAATCCCAATCCACAAGGCTATAGAATTCATATTGTTGATCTTTCCTACGAAAATATGACAATTCATTTAAAAAAATATATATCCCTGGGTTTGTTTGTGTTTTCATAATTATATTTTTCATGTATGCAGAAGTTATGAATTCTGTACAAAATGCACAAGTATTCTTAATGAACAAAATCTCAATATATCATTATGTCTTGCAGATCTTGAATTTGATTTTTAACAGGAAGAACCATGATAACCAATACATTTATTCGTAAGCCCCCTCCTCATCCTTTCCATTGCTTAAATTGCAAAATTCTGATCATATATTTCAAAGCTGAAAAGGACCACACAGTGAATCAATATACTGGACATAGGGACTATGCCCCCTCCTTACCCGCAATATAAGCCTGCTCAACACGGGATTCAATACTGGCCAGATCTCCCCCATTATTTCTACATACTTCTCGAGCATCCATCCAGTCCAACTGTTTATCAAAAAACTGGTAACAATTGTTAGAATTTGGATCCTCCTCCCAGTTCAAACCGCAGCGGACACTTATAGGCACTATAAAGGTAAAACCGTAAAATGTCATATAATGTGTAAGACCATCACCAGACTATGGATTTAGCAGTAAATAATTATAAGACAATTGTGACAACCCTTTCTACCACATTTCTCAGCCCAGGAGTCGATTTGAATCAAATAGGCATACTATTTATATGTTTCCAAATTAGTTTGACATAATACAGCCATTTTGACATATTTTTGTTAAGAAAAATTACATCCATAAGTACAGGTACAATATGTTTTTGTCAGATGGACACAGTCGCTAGACAACTTTGTTAAAAAGTAAATACCATCTAATCCTTTGGCTCAGGTGAGTTCAAAACTCTACAAATCGGAAATCGATAGAGAAGTGTAGAAAGTAAGAAGGCAAGTAACGTTAAACCCTAATACAGCTAATTAACAACTGAAAGTACATGTACTCTTATAATATTAACAGTTAGATTTTGAATTTCATCTCGCTGGAAGAAATTAATTGAATAATACTAACTGGCTGCAGTAGTCGAGACGCTGACGGGGAGCTGGGCGTTACCTGAAAATAGGATTTAAAAAAGAAATAAAATCATACGAATTTACGAAATGAAATAAAGAAAATATGTTTTCATAAAAAAAATGTATATTTTTCCATTTAAAAACCCTTTTATCTATAAGAATGAAGAACTTGAATGGTCACTGACTTGCTGTTTTCTGGCAGATGAAACGGACAAGCGTGGAGCACTGGCGATCGTTCCATTTTCCCTGACGGTTCATAAAATTCATCTCCACACAGTTCTCTGTTCCCAGATTGTTTGGTTCATGAGAATTCCAGTTATAATACTTGCTACCCTAAAAAAAATTAACAAACGGCTGTGCATCTTTGCAATACAAATAATAGAAAATTTCAATTATATACAAATTATATACTAGTATATTGCAATGAAAATGATGAATTATGATTATCCAATTTATGCATTTTAATTTATATCATCTTGATATTTATTCAAGATTTTACTGACGGTGGTTGCATCCAGCCATTGCCAACGGCCTTCCTGAGTCCTGTCATTAAGTCCTATCCAATACTCTTTTCCATGGGATTGTCCTTAAGATACAAAGAAGAAGGGAAAATAGAATCTGCATTAAATGACACGGCAAGAGAAAAATCTTTCGTTAAACAATATACGTAGGCATTATTATTGTCTCTAGTCTGCAATAACTGGTAATGGAAACTTACTGAGAATGTAAGACTGGACGGCAGCTGAGTTAATGGTAACTAGATCCGCCCCTGCATTCTGGCACGCTTGGCGGGCATTAAGCCATGATAACCTGGTATCATTAAACTGGTAACAGTTTCCATTGTAAAGCAACCAGTGACCAGTACATTTAAACTGGGCTGTCAAAGAAAATTAAAGCAAAAATAAATAAAAAAAAATAACTGCAAAATATTTTGCACTTCCTTGCATGATAAACAGGATGATGAAAACAATGAACTCACCATAATTATTGTGAATAAGTTTCTGATATTGTGATTCAGAGATAAATTAAAGAATGTTGACATCTTATTTTTTTATTAAAAATTAAGACAAAAAGTATATTTTTTAAATACTTATTCAACATTTTTTTTACATTCACAAATGCATATGTGCTCTAATTTAAGTATAAAGAAAAAAATATTTATACTTAGTCCTAAAATAAGCTTACGTCTGGGCGTGGTTACTGGGTTGACACGTTTACCCATAGGGATTTGACACACAAACGCCTTTTGAGTAACACAGTTGTTGGTAGTTCTCCAGGATCCGCTCCTGTCACCTACAAATAGGAAGAATAAAATTAATAGTTTTGTACCAAAATTATAGTCATGTTAACGTGAAGCGAAATAAGACTGTACAAATTTCTCTTTTTTTGGGCCGGGGGGGGGGGGGGTATAATTTGAATAAGATTCGGACATACACAGAAAGGAATTTAAATCAAAATAAATGAAAATTTTTTTGATAATACCAGTGTAGATATAGCCACAGTCCTGTCTGTTGGGAGTGTTTCGGGCAGCATGGTTCCCAGGCCAGTGTTGATAGTGCTGAATATTACCACCATTTGTCCACATCCAGGGCCCGCCCGTCTTATTGTTGTCTGGAGGAAAGGATTTCATATGTAGATAATAATGTTATAATGTAGCATTTGCATAAAAACATTATAATATTTAGATTAAAAGTTGACATTGCATCTCGTCTTCTAAAAAATCAGAGGCCGAAATTCTAAATTAGCATAGCCAATCAGATGCCACCGAAGGAATGTTCGATTCTTATTATTATTCTTAATAAAGAAATTCGACTCTATTAGGAACAACTAATGGAACATTCATGATTTACAGCGGTTTTTGAAAAAAAAGTTAAAAATATAAAAAAAATTATTTACAATCAGATTAATACATTATTCAAATTTTCAGCACGTCAATGATAAAAGGATTTCTGCATTACATGTCGAACACGTACCAGTAAGTCCAATCCAAAACGAGTCTATGCCAGCTGACTGTAGTTCATCAAGATAGGAGTTTATGAAGTTAGTAAACGTTGTCCTAAACAGAGTTTTTTTTTCTTAAATACATGGATTTTGACAGTTATTACCTTTATAGCAACAGTAACAGTAACAACAAACGGTAATCATGTATAAACATAAAATCTGTCTTTGGAAATCAATGTTAATGACCAATAATCTCACCCATAAATGGAGACAAGGTTTCCTCCAGAACTTCTACAGAAAGTGTTGGCCTGATACCAGTTGTACTTAAACCGAATGTTGAATAAGAAACACAGTTTCTGGTGGGGCACCCAACCCGGCATGCACACACCTATTTGACAATTAAATAATCAAACGATTTCAAATATTAAGGTAACTTAAAGTATTTCTCAAGTTTTCCCATCAACAAATCAACTATGTAACTTGCGAGAAATACGCAAGCATTTATTTCAGACTTCAAGTAAAAATACCTAATAATTAGAATTTCACAGCAAGAGTGTAGATTTATTAATTTTCTAATTTCTAGTACTACCTATTATTTCTTATAACTCACCCTCTGGTCTCTTGCAGACGAATCCTTTTCTCACGTTACAGTTGTCCGTAGACCAAGATTTGCGATAGTCTTGTTGTCCGTTATTCATCCAAACGCAAGTGCGATTCAGCATATTGCTAAAATAAAATAGTGTTGACGTTCATTCAGTTTCTTTTTATAATTCAGAAGTAAAATTCTTATTTCTTAACTGGTTCTCCATACTGAATATTGTAAGATGGTGGCCTGTTCCCGCTATAATTTGCAATTGTGCCTTTTCAGTGACCGTGTTGTATTGAAAATATTGTCTTAAATCATAATTGTAACACTTGCCTAATAAAGACAGTTGCTTCTTCGGGTATTATTTTAAAAACTAAGAGGTATATTTGCTTATGTACTCATATTCATTATAGATGAGAGTCGCTCATGTGAACATCACAATCAGAAGTTTATTGGTTTACTTAATTCTCTAATAAGGCTTGATTTTTAAACCAACTCACGTCCTAAGTACGGGAGGTTGGCCATTAGCCCAGTACTGGAGTGCTCGATTTGAGGTCATAACAGTCCCATTCAACCATTGCCAGTTGTTCGTGTTACCCTATAAATGCACCATGTAATACTCAGAAAAGAGCATGGAATATTTTGTGAGAAATGAATTTAGTAACGTCTTTAGATTAAAAAAAAATAGTAATTAAAAGTTGAAATTCCTGTTCACCATCTGAACGCTGTGTAGTGCCGTCCACAGAGGGCGCTTGGTGTTTCGGGCGAAATCATGAATGGCGATTTGATCCTGGTCATTGTCGATCTCTACTAAATCTCCGCCATTTCTGGAGCACACGTTTCTACAGATACAATATAAAATTAGAAATGCTTACGCCAGAAATGTACCACGCAAGATAACTAGTATATCAGGAAATTAATGAATGACATTTTCCTTCTTTTCGACAAATTCTGGATTGCATTACAGATTGATACGTACACAGCACCGCTCCATGTTTGTACATCAGTGGGGTGGACCTGATAACAGAAGTTATTGAATTGCTGCCATCCACGGGTAGAGTCACAAGTCAGTGGAGTGCCTGTCAAAAAATTTTAATTAATATTCAGATTGATTTCTCTCTCTCTATTTCTCCCTCCCTGTCTCTTTCTCTCTCTCTCTCTTTTAATTAATAGTCAGATTGATTGCTCTCGATCGATCGATCGAACGAACGAACAAACAAAAACTAAATCACAGAGGTCTTCAATGTGTTTCAGTCAATATTTAACTTTTGGAATTTGATCTTTTAGCAAGTAGCACATCTTTTTAAAAACCTTTTATCGTCGTAGTGAATATGGGTTCCAAAGATACGAAAGTTTTTATTTCATCTGAAAGTACGTTTTTGAACAATAAATATAACCGAAACATTGGAATGAATGACTTCAAAATCCATAGGTGTCTTAATTCCTCTAACCATTCTACACACACATATTAAATATAAAGGGTAATTAAGTCTATTTTAATTGCATCACATAAAGCGTAATGGTTAGATATATCGTCGAAACCCACGGTCGTGTCGCTTCTGAGGCAAGACCGACCGACAGTGGTTTTTCGACGATGGGACAGATAAAGCAATATCAAATACAAAATGTTTAGTTTTCGTTGTACCTCTTGCTCTCTCGCAGATGTAAGCATATTTCTGCCAGCATTGAGTGTTGACCATTCCCGCTGTACCACTGATGTAGACACAGTGGTCTGTTGTGGATTGGTGAAGATGTGCCGCCGAGCTGTAAATTATCAAGCTTATATGGTTATTGTGAGAAGTTGTTGTTCTGTATCCTATTGTTATATGGTTAAGGTTATTGTGGTCGTGTAATATAGGCACTTGTACATGTATAAGCTATAGGATGAATTAATTTTGCGTTTTATTGATGTACTTAAATTGCATATGCTGCATTAGTACTTAGATGTGGTGGTTATACTCTTACGGACTAGTTGCATTTGGCAATACTTATACAGTTATATATAACAGGATGTATAACTATACAGCAAGATAATTTGTTACAGTGAGGAGTATAATGTATTTTGTTAAACTGATGAAGTTGCTGCACTTGAATCTAAGTATACTGAGGAAGCAGCATAATTGCAGTTGCTGGCTTCAGTTGAAAGACTTCTCCATAGAGGTTTGTGCATTGAAGACATTCTGACACTGAGGACGGATAAACTTGGATCAATCTTGATGAATTAGCTTACGTAATGACTTGAGCCACTGGTGACTTGTCGCCCCACACCCAGGCCTGGGATTGTGGGTTTTTGTTGTTCATACCCGTCCACCATTTGGTATTCCTTAAATGTTGGTGTTGCACTATGTTTTTAATGGCATTTGTTATATACGTCTGAAAAAAATAAACACTGCATAAGACTCAATCAAATAAATTCTGAATTCGAACATTTCATTAATTTCTTTGTTCGATTATTCAAGAATACAAGTAGTTATGATTTCACCGTTCTATCCTTTTGGAATAGTCATTTTGCCATTCTTCCATTTTGGACTAATAATATAAACCTTTTGCTATTTTATCCTTTTGGAATTTCTTGATTCCTGACATTAAAGACTGACTTACTTTTTCTGCATTGTTTTCAAGTTTGAGAAGATCCCCACCCTGTGACGCACACCACGCCTTCGCTTCATTCCAGCTTTTGAGATTCACCCAACGAAATCGATAACATACATTTGCATATGCTGACCAGTATAGTGGACAGTTTTGATTGGTTGATGAAACTGTAAAATATAAATTCAAATTCAAGTATACAGAAAAGATATTCTTATTTGATTAAGTTTGATATATTAGTGCATGTTCCATCATTTTTAACGCCCCTCTCGGAGAATTTTTCACTCAGATGGAGACGCCACCACTTGTCGGTGGAGAGCTGCAAAATTTTTACCTATAGATACTTGGCACTTAAAGATCTTTTTTGTGCCAGCACCTACTACGACTCGGGACCTCGGTTTAAATACGGTCTCATCCGAAGGACCGGGCCAATCACTTTGAACTAATTGTAATACTGAACCTGAATATTGAACTAGTACAGTTGAGAACACTACGATGCAGAACTTATTTTCAGATCATCGCCGTTAAATACTATACTGCTTGTGATAATGGAAGGTTGCAAGTTACTAGTATTTAAAAGAAATCTTAATATCGATGTGAAATTTCAAGAAATACAATGTATATATATATAGCCAAATGGATAGACAAACGTGCTTAAGTAATTGTGCCAGTTGGTGTTTCTGTGAAGCCTGCCTTCACAGAAAATCGAGCTTAAGATCTATCAGTCTATCCCTGTAGTTCATTTTATCCTACACACTATAGTTAAAGCCATTGTGAGACAAATATCTTCTTTTATTTTTTTGAATTTTTGACCATTAATATATGTATTATATCTTGGATTAATATTTTGCCATTTTTTAAAGAAAAATTTTGCATTTAATTTGATAGTAAACGTTAATATTTCCATCGCATCTCGCAGATTTCATCTGTATATTGCGAAAAGACAAATTATTCAACCATGTAGTACAATGTAACGATCATAACTATAGTACGATAATTCATCCGTTAAGATTTTCTTGTGGTAATATAGGTAATGATATTCTTATTTCAAAAGCATGCATACACATTTTTCACGATCAATGCACCGATTCTTGAAGAAATTGTTATTCTAGTATTTGGGATAAATGACAATGGGAAAATTAGTGTATTTTGTATTAAGGAATAGCTGTGTAGTTTTTTGGTTTTATGATGTGATCAATCAATTTGCTCGCTTGATAATTTGCATAAACGCCGAAGGCGTTTATGCGTAAAATTATCATACGAGCAAATTGATTGATCATCATCATAAAACTGAAAAAACCAGACTTATTCCTTATATTTACATTTTTACCTGGCCCCAGGATCATGAAGCAAACTTAGACTTAAGTCAAATTTTCAATCACCTGTAAAATGTTATTATTGAATTTATCTCTAAATTTGCAGACAACACCACTTTTGTAAAGCAATATTGAAAAATATTTTAATTTTGTTCTAATTGACTTTTACAAAAACTAAAAAGAACATAAAGATTTTGACTTAAGCTTAAAATGTTTCATGATCCCGGGGCCTGATCATTAATTTAATTTTTAAAAAAATCAATATTAAGAAATCTCAGCATCCCCACCAGGCGTATTACTAAGCAGCACGCAGCGAAAAAGCATGCAGTTCTGTCACGTGCTGAGCAAATCGATATATGGGGATATAAAGCCATTACCTTATTCGTAATTTTATTTCAGAGAAAGACATTGGAAAATGTAAATATATATTTGGTGATCTCTGGGTGGCTCGTAGACCATGAGAATAATATCTTCTTAGAGGACCATCATAGACCATCATATGAATTGCTTTCATAAAGTGGAAAATATTGTACATTTGCGTTCACTCAGAAATTAGCATGTCTCATTTGCGTTAATTGCATGATATCTGGCAGGTTTCTTGGTTCCTATCATTAATAGGTGTATGAAATTGTTATTAGAACTTCATTAACACATGTTTAGATTTTAGTAAGTCCAGTTCGAAAAATACAATAGAAAAATTTATGCAATTATATGGAAGTTTATGCAAGCTTTTGTATGTAAATTTATGAAAACAAATAATCGTGTTTGATCTGGATTAAATTTTGATAAGCTACGATTCCAGAGCCTGCTGTACACGGGACGGTAAAAGGGGGTCGAGATAAGATAACCTAGTGAGTTCTAAGTTGTAACCTAATACGACAGAGTACCCGTAATTTACCCGCGGTTTAACTGATACTCTAAGTACGGGTCAAAACCTTGTCTTCTAAGCTATATGTATGTTATCATATTTTTACACCGTTTCCTGAATACATCAGGTTCTTGTTTTTGTTTATTTGTTTTTTCTCTCTCTTTCTCTCTCTCTCTCTCTTTAAATTCATATTTTACAGTGCATGATATCAATTAAAATTTTAATCAACCACCAAAATGTACAACGAATATTTTTTAAAGTTATTTTTTAAGGGTCCTTTGCCTATTGAATCAATTAAAATCTATAAATAATACGTAATTTTGCATAATTTAAGTAAAACTACTATACATTTAATCCAAGTTCTATGAAAAAAATACTCTTAATTGGTAAGGATTTTTGAGTTGCATACGTTACATGAGCATGATGGTAAACAAATCTTTGATGCATATCTATTATCAGAAATACCTCAAATATCCGGGTGAAACTTTTGTGAGGCTTTTGGTCATATACAACTTGTTTTATGTAACTGTTTTTAAGGAGCCTGTATATACTTTTTTTTGACATTGAGAAAATAATACCTTGTAAAGGTATAAATATTGGGTTTATTTATTTTATTTTATTATGAACACTGTTGCTTACATGTACTAAATAAGGAAAAACTGTTCAATCAATTTATTTCGGTTTAAGGTTCATTGATAGTCTGATAAGATTTGAGGGCAGAACACTCTAACTGCCTAAAAGTACCATAGAATTAGAACACTTTTGTGTGCAGTTAGTGTATATTTAAACTCGAAATATTTTTTTCTATTGTCCTTATACAGTATATAATGCGATTCCATATATGTATAGATTGTTGGTGTCGCCAAAATGCATTATAATTTATTCCCTGTTTCCAACAATATTTCTCGTGTTTATCAAATTGATTGCAATTTCAGAATTACTATAAATTTTGGCTTTGAAAAAAAGTTACATTTGTATACCACGTATCTTTCTTTATTCTATTTTGACGTTTTGTCGATTTTTTTCCTCCGTTTTTTTTTAATGTAAAAGCAAATCATCAATAGACAACTCTTCTAGAAGTCAGGAAAGACAACTCGTGGAGAATTCTTGTATTTGGGATACAAATCTTTGAATATTTTCAGATGTTTTGCTGCACTTTATCACTTTTGCAATCTGGCTGACGGCAATGATACCTTTGTTTATTCTATCAGTTCTATACCTTAAAGGAGATGGGCGAACAATTTTTTTAAGCGGAGAGAAATGCCTATGGTTTGTTGTTGAAAGTGAAAAATTGAATCTCAATTATAACACAATTCTCTGACATTTCATTTAAAATTGATGCATACTTTATGTAAAATCTCTACAATTTGAACAAGCTCACAAGTGTTGAAATTATTTGTCTATGTCTATGAAATAGCATGTACACACCAGAAAGGGCAAAAATAATCATTTCTTATAGTATAACACACTTTTTCTATGTGAGTGGGTTTTCGCTCGATTTTTTTTTTTTTTTTTTGGAAATGTATCTTTAAAGTATGTTTAAAAATATGCATTTTTGCTTAGCATGGAGCAAGAACCCACTCTACCTTAAAAATACACATTTATGACACAAAATTAATATCTTTCTGAGAAATATATTCAAGAGTCATATCACAAACAAGATTTAAATATCGTTTCCTTTTATGAGTTATTTGGTGTGGCGGTTAGCGTGTCAGTATCTAGAGATAAAATGAAACTCAGGATTTTTATCGCTTGGGTTCAGATCCCAAGATATCCTAATTTTTTTAATCCATGGTATAATTTTTGACAACATAATTTTTCCGCAGAAAAGTTATATTTGTCATAATTTCATACTTTTCAATAATTAGAACTTCGCTCTTATTTGGTTCACAAATTGAATTTGATTTTTATACGGTTGAATCTATATGCATTTTGACCGCCTTGTTCGTCCATCTTCTTTGAAAGATTTTTTTTTTTTGGGGGGGGGGGGTCCATTGCTTAGTCCCGAATTAACGTGGAAAGACTTATGTCAAAGTAGAATTCATTGAATGAATTTGAGTTCCTCGTAGAAGTGTCCACGTTCCGAGTTGATTTTCAGAAAAGCAATTGCACATTGATTGAAGAATCTTTGAAGAAGATAAACGTTCATTATCTAAGTCCACATAGGAAATTAAAACCTATTACATAGGCGTCGCAAGCAAATTGAAAGTGGGGGAGGGAGGCTAACCCAACAAAAACGTTTGGGGGTTAAGCCCCAAATTTCAATGCCTATATTATGTCTATCTTTGCAAAAAAAAAAGGGGGGGACTAAGCCCCCCACCCCCCCCCCCGGTTCCGACGCCTATGTTTTATGCTTATCGCTGTATTTTGTGTTTAGACGAGACTCTTAATTACACAAGCAATCGTTTGCCGAATCCGTTTCAGACCTTGTTCTAAACTTTCTAAGACTTAATTGCTGGTCTGCACAATTTAGGAGTTTTTAAGCTTATTGTGTCAGTTGATCGAACATGTTGATCTTGGTAAATGATAACACAAGTTTTTCATTGTAATATTATGGAATCCTGTGGCTGCCATGATTTTTGCGTTTGAAATATACGTACATTTTAACCCCGTCATCGAATCGTACTATCGTCATTGTATCAATGACACCCACTAAGCATTTTATACTATTATACATTGGTCATATGATATAATACATGTATATGGTACAAAAATCCAAGATATTAATTTTTTGACTCTGAATCTCATCCCCTCCCTACATGTATCTTGTTATATTGTGTTCTGTATATTTCTTTCAAACTAGACTTCGAATAAATTGCATAGATCTGTCAATTAATTTCCATGTTTTACACACAATTTAAAAAAAAGCATTGTTTTCCTGTATATATGCAAAATAAAATAACAAATGGCAAAAACATAATATTATTAGATCCTGTGCTACATCTCGATTCATATAAAATATAACTTACCAAAATTTAAATACTGTAGAAATATAAATGATGTGAAACCAAGAATTCTTAATCCTTGTTTGAAATACATTTTTTTTTTTAAATTAAACAAATATAAGCAATTAATTGTCCATAATTAACACACTCCCCCAAACAAAAGTCGCAGCATGCACCACTCAGTTTTAGGAGGTGTAATAATGACAAGCATGTAATTTCATGAATTTTGGACTTTATGCAATGGGGTCTGCAAAGGGGTAACGGTATCCATAATTTGAAATAGCTTTCAACCTTCTCGATAGATAAAATTTTGATTTTGATAAAGGAAGTGTATAAAAACCGTATATTTTTATACATTTTTCATTCTTAAAAACTTCATTTTTCACTAAAAAACCCCTCTTTGTAACCTCAACAAGAAATGCTCTGAGATGCTTTTATTTACAATGCAAAGTATGATACAGATAACAAGAAAAGCCACATTCATCACCGAGATCGTGGAATATATAGGGTTTACAGATAATAACAATCACGGCAATTGACATCTGTCTAGTGTTTGTCAACAAACCCCAGTATGACCGATCCAGTTAAACAAATATAATTTTTAACAAGCTGACCCTTAACCTTTCAAATTTATACCAGACAGATCCCAAGCCCTTACCTCTTTCCCCCGCCCCCTCTTACCAACTTTCAAGACCTAATTCTTGAACTTTAATATCGGGATGGTGTCTTTTTAATAAGACGAAATCCTCGTATTTGTTTTTTCTGCACTCATCATGAAACACGAAAAAAAATGAAATAAAGCATAATAATTTTTATTAATTTTTTTAAAATTATAGTTATTTACTTTTTGATTAATGTGTGGACATGTATAAATGCAAATCTAAATAGTTCTTTTTAAAACCTAAAAATCTTTGTTCAATCTATTGTCGTTTCAGTAACAAAGAAATTACATTTCAGAGATATTACCCGCATGTGATTTTATTAATTTTGAATTAACAGTATCTGTTTTTTTTTTTTAATTTATCAGAAAGATTCGCAACGTATTTTGACAGCGTTTTTGGGGGTACATAATTGTGTAAATTTTTTTTAAAAAAAGTTATATCATAAAACAAGTTAGATCTGCCCAAGATATACGGGTTTAAACGATCAAAGAGACTCGCTGTTACTGTTACTATGTTGATAGAACTCCGATAAATGAAAAATTGGACCGATGTGAGTATATGGGTCAATTAAATACTTACAAACTTATCAATACAGTGCAGCTTCAGTACTATTGATAACCTTTTTCGTAACATCTCAAAGTATCCTACGTACACATAGTACTTGTACATGTACTATTATCATGAACTAAAAGCATGAATGGTTCAAAATTCATATTTTGATTAAAGGAAAAGGAGACTCATTATTAACCATGTGTTGTTTCTTTCCACCCTAATTACTGCAAAATAGTTTATTGTCGATGGGGTCCATTTTTTGTGTTTTGATGAGAAAATACAATCATGTATTTGTTCGTGGGGATTTAATTTCGTTGTTGAAGTTTCAATTGTTATATATTGAAATTTTAACATTTCTTGGTTTCTTCACACCACTAACGCATCAAAAGTTACACCCATCCCATCCTGACACGAAAATAAGTGATTTCACACTATTGATCAAGGGGCCTTTGTGTTACTAAAAGCTTATAAACAATATCAATATTGAAGAAGTAACTTTTACTTTGTTTTAGTTGAACTCAAACATTAGTTTTGCAATATTTTTCCTTTGATAAAATTCAAAGATTATTGAAATGTAGTACAGTCAAAAATTATAAATAAGACACTGAATATTTTCTTACTTAATAAATATGGAGATAACGAACAGTATTCAAGCTCAAAGTCCATTAAAACAATACAAATCGGGAGCAGAGCAAACAGGGGCCTCCAAAAACATCAGAAGTGGGATCAGGTGCCATGGAGGGGCGAGCATCCCCTGCCGACCGGTGCTCCTTGTCATGATCGGTAAGTAACGGAAACTTATTTTATCAGTGGTGTGGCTAAATGTGAAGAAAAAAGGCAGGCACATGTACAGGTAATCCAAAAAAAAAAAAAACAAACAAACAAACAAATTTTTTAGCCAAACAAGACATACTAGTAAGCCCAACAGCTCTTTCTCTCCCTTCATCCTTCACGGTTTATGGATAATCTATAGCTGAAGGAATCTCATCGTCGCAAGCCACGGGTTTTGTGTCCATTCTATTTCCACAAACCGGGTTTGTGGAAATAGAATGGACAAAAAACCCGTGGCTTTCGACGATGAAGGAATCTATGAATAACGACATTAATTGCCGGTTTCATCAAGGGGTCATTGCCATACTTATACTTTGGTTTATGTGTTCTAGATATATTTCCGACACGAGAACAAAGTCTAGGGCACTCTAATTACAGTACTAAGTCTTCAAACTCAATTATTTGAATTCTTTTCATTTCCCTAACTTCCTAAACATAAATAGAATGATATGTACTTTTATATAAACAAACACACATGAAATTTGTGAGAGGGAGAGAGGGTGAGTGTGTGTGTGTGTGAGGGAGGGTGTGTGTGTGCGTTTAAGTCATTCGATTATTTTCATTCAAATGCTTACAATTCTTTTCCGCGTTTACCTATGATTTTCACATCTTAAATCACAGGCACTTGTTTCTGTAATAAAGTTTTAAACCTATAGTATAATAGCAACACAAGGTATCTGACTCAGAATTACATGGATTACCCCCTACCCCAGAATCGCAGTCATTTACACTTTCAGAGAAAATGCACTGGCAAATTGTTTATTACCATTCTCTTCTATGATAAATTATTGCATGCTTGTCTTTTTTTTTATCTCCTAGCTGCAGAACTGTAGCGTTATAGTTTTATATTTTAGTCTTTGCCCGTAACTAAAATATAAAACCATAACGCTACAGTTCTGCAGCTTTTTATCTCCGTAAACAGCGTCAGACTGGGAAAGAATTTCGACGCTGTTTACGGAGATCGAAGAAAATAAAGACAAGTATGCCAAATGTGGTCGTGTAGATAAATCATCGTAGAAGAGAATGATAATAATAAACAGTTTGCCAGTGCATTTTCTCTGAAAGTGTAAATTACTGCAATTCGGGGGAGGGGGGTGGGGGGAGCACTCCATATAATTCGGAGTTAGATACCTTGAGTTATTACTATACTATGCATGGGTTAAAAATTTATAACAGAGACAAGTGCCTGTGTCTTAAATGTACATACATGTGTATGATTAAAAACTCTCGTAACCATTCATTTCATAAATACATGAGTACATATATATGTCTGGACAATATCTAATATAAGAGCAATTTCACTAGCGTCACGTGATTTTGCAGTCGTCATTCCGCTAAAAAAAAAAAAAAAGAATAACCCATAAAACGTCTTTCCACGGGAACATTTTTGAAAATCATTTTAACGTATGTTGTTTTTATCTTTGGTTAAATATAGTCCATTAAAGAATTCAAATCTGTTGTTATGTAACATAAATGCCACGCAAACACGAGGTTCTTTAACAAAAACCTTCGGGACGTACAGGATTCCGTGACTCCAAATGACCTTAGAATTATCACAACTGATAAGACAGTATGCTTTGAACACATTTCTGAAACAAAGATGATCAAGGCTGTCGTTCTTCTCTTGGTTCTTGTCGTGGGTATGTATATTTACAGTCCGAAAATAATTAAAAAACAAAGCGATATTAGAAATAGAATTTATAATTCCCTAGTATAAAATAAATATTACTTTAAGAGATAACCAAGTTTGTTGGCTATGAACAACATTTACTATTTGTATATTTCACAACATTATGATCTCGTTTATAATTTACCATTTTTAAAGATGACACTATCAATGGTCGAGTTTAGTAGCAAAATCTAGAATTTGCGCCACTATGCAAAAGATAAAATCTTCAATATGTAATGTTTCAATGTGTAACATCTTCAATATGTAATGTTTCAATATTTAACATCTTCAATATGTAATGTTTTGACTATTTATCAACATTGCGCCTCTGGACATATGAGGTTCATCACGACTGGACAAAATCATAAGGTCACTTACTAAGAGAACTACAGCACAATAGTTATATTCTCTATCCTCTAAACCAGAAATCTCTGAAGACATAGCTCTACTGGTATGACGTCATAATTTCTACCTTCGAGTAAAAGTTGTTTATCTACTTGATTTTTTTTTCCTTTCGAGTTTAGCATTTTTAAGCCTGAAAGAAATGGGCAACAAGTTTAATGCATGTTATTCTTATCTGAATAACATTTCATTGAAGAATGACGGTCACCGTGCTTTGTTTGATTTACGTCCTTATGGGAATTTTTTCACTCACATTGGGACGCCGAGGGAAGAATACAATTTAAACCTGCAATTGGCACTTGTGGCCACTGAACAGTGAGAAATCTTTTTCATACCAGCACCTACTGCGAAATTGAACCTCGTTTATACGATCTCATCCGATGGATTGGTCTCAACGCCCCACAGTGGATTCGAACCCATGACGTAAGGATCTACTCCTTACTCCTCGACTCTAGATCTAGAGACCACTGCGCCACCTGGCGACACCGTGCTTATTCCCAAATTAGACTTAACATGAATCCTAACGTAATAGTATATATTTAGTACACAAAGCAACCTTGTTTTTCAAAAATAAAAACCTGCAGATACGAAAATATTGTATATGTGAATGTATGGAACTTGTATATAAAATATTTCATTGACATCAGGACAAAACTGTACATGTAGGCGTAGCATTTGAAAGATGTTATGGATCATTCTTATATATTTTTATTGCCAATTGCAACACTGTTTGAACATCGAGATTTAATATAGATGAAAAGAAGCTCTTCTTTTGTTCTATACTTGATAGAAATCTTGACAAACTTGTAGGAAGAGAAGAATTTTGAAGGAATCTAAGGGATTTTTTTTAAATCAAAATTTGCAAAGCCGTACATTGGAAAACAAGAATCAACTACATTGTATAACGCATTATACTTAATGATTACAGTCATCCAGGGTGAGAAGCCACCCCAGGGGACAGAACTATGTCATCATGTCCTCCAACAAGACTGTTCTACATTTGAAGAGGAAGTGGTGTGTGGCTCAGATGGAGTGACCTATCATAACAGGTAATGTGAAAATAAAACGATCGCAAGTGCGGAATTAGATCTTTAGCAACTTACAGTATACATATTAGTTTATAGCCAAAGTACTGAGAGTTTTGAAGTATCCCCTAATCTAGTATACTTTTTTCAGCTGTGAGTTTGCAAAAGCAGAGTGCCATGGGCATGGACACAACCTACATGCTGTGCATAGTGGACCCTGTTAATAATTGTCCACAGAATGAGCCTTATCCCTTAATAAATATACATTTTACAAATTATATCTCTCTTCATTCTACCGACGTTAAATTGCTTTAATTCCATTCCATTAGATGCCAGTATCCTAAATGTGATCAAGTGTTAAAATTAATTTTTCCGAAGACGGTTTATTTTTATTTTTATTTTTTTTTTACTGTTTTTAGAAAGTCAAAGCCTTACATCGAAGCATCCTTTCACACTGAATCAAATGTTACTTGTAGGAAGTTGTACAGTGTATGGAATGTACAATTTATCTTTCCCTTCTCATAGAAAATTTGATGATAATTTTCTGTCAGTTTGGATACTTAGTTGTCTTTAAGACATCCTGAATGGATCAGCAGATTTCATTAAAATTTTAAAGGTGGGGGGATAGTGTTCAGAAAGGCAATTAGAGTTGACAGTGGAGGGTGTTGCATTAGTATCAGTGATATAATAATATATATTTATTGCCGAAAAGTCGTTTAGGAAAAGTTTGTTTGTAGCTTTAAAAAAAAAAGAATTCCAAGATACTTTCAAAATGAAAAGTATAGCAATTTTGAAAATTAAATATCTAGATTAAAATTCCCAAACCTCTTGTCAATATAAGATACATCGTCTCAAGCCACGGTCCGGAGTCCACATATAGCTCTCTCCAGAGTGGGAGAGGGTCGTACATTTTGGCCGTGGTTTGCGACGATGTATAAGATAAAAACTAAACCGAAAGCTTTAGTTATTGTCTTTTTTAAAAAAAAAATGCCAAATGTGACATGCACATGAAAAACATGAAATTCCTCTAAATGGTTTCCCGACCTTCCAAAATATGTCACTGGAATCATATGACGTATGCAGAAGGTGAGTTAAATTGCTTTTTTCATAATTTCAGGATGAGAAGCAATGGTATTTGAAACTTTTGTACGAGTCACTAAAGTTCTACTCGTTTTTCAATTGTCACCGGAAGTTGTCCTTCTTTGAGAACATATGAAAGTGATGTCACTTTATCAGCACTAAGATAGATGATGTCATTTCTGTTCAGATAATCACGGCCTAAACCGGAAGTAAGCAAAGCAAAAACGTCCATGGCTTTTGGCTTTTCTTCAAACTGCAAATAAAAAAACAAAACGATGTATAGTAGAAGTATTACTTACAAAAGCACCAAATTAACATTCACAATTGGAATCTATAATCACAAAATGATATTACAAATATTATCATATTATTATTATTATTTAAAAAAAACCGTTTGACTAACTCGAAGCTCATACAATAAGAAATAACCATGATTACCCTTTTCATTGTGTCATTGTAAAAATGTTCAAATTGTTCAATGTAAAAATGATCCTTAGTTCTTAATAAACGGAGCAGCGTAGATTTCAATTCATCCGGTTCCATTCTCTCTGGATTCAGCACCTACAAATTAAGAAAGAAAAGTATTAATATACAACCACAACATCTTATTTAAACAGGGTATATAAGATTAGATCTTTTGATGCGCTCACTTAATTCGCTATAGGCACTAGGATGTTTGGTTTCATCTCAAATTGGCCCTCCATATAAATTTAAAAGCCAATGACATGATAGATTAGCGAATGATAATCAGCCTTACGCAGGCAGTTTGTTTTCGTCTCGAATCATCTATTCAGCATGTTGCGGACTCCTTTAAATTAAACTGAAATCGAATCAACATTAAGTATACCAACTGCGTTTCCTCAGTCTATACCTGTTTGGTCCTGAGAGTCACACCGACGGTTTAGAAACCGATGCGCTAATTGGTTGGATGAATCAATTTGATGAACTCAAATCGGACTCTGTAGCGATGAAAGGGCCAAAGGATTTCATTTTAATTGGATTGACGTGGATTTTCTCACTAGATTTAACAAAGCTATAGATATTTTTATGATATAAAATGTATACATATACCCTACTGCCATTTTTGTCTATCCACATGTAACTGGCGTCCGCCAGGGAAACTCTCTTTGTCGAGTCGTTTTCATCTTTAACTTCATCATTAGCTGAGAGGACTTTCTTACAGTCGGAAGAATCGTACTCCATGGAGGGAGAGAACAGGATGGAAAAGGAAAGACTGCGACCATAGGAGCGGACCTGGTGTAAATATCCTATAATCAAACAGTCATATTTTACAATACCGATAAAGAGTGTGGAATATATAAATTAAATTATTATACCTCTACTGATTTTTCCCTATATAACATTAGATCGTTAGATGTGATTATTATACCTCTACTGATTTTTCCCTATATAACATTAGATACTTAGATGTGACTAATACCCTAGAAATCGTTATGAGTGGACTAATCCCCGTGTGTTAGTCAAGTGAGCTAATCCCTGCTTCGAAAGCTAATTCCCGGTTATCCGTAATCCTCTAGGTTTTACTTTTACGTTGGTATACGTGAATGGACTAACACCCGTGTGTTAGTTCAGTGAGCTAATCCCTGCTTTGAAATCACGCTATCTGAATCCTCTAAAATTTACGTTTGTATCGGTATAATAAAACAGTTAAAAGTATATCATTGCGGGAGTTAGCAAGATTCCAGCTCCCCTCGACCAGGACTATCTCCCTCGGCTTCGCCTCGGGAAATAGTCCTGGCCTTGGGGAACTGGAATCTTGCTAACTCCCTCAATGATATACTTTAACTGTATATTAATTCCCTAGAAATCGTTATGAATGGACTAATCCCCGTGCGTCAGTCAAGTGAGCTAATCCCTGCATCAAAAGCTAATTCCCGGTTATCAGTAATCCACTAGATTTTACTTTTACATTGGTATGATATGTGAATGGACTATTCCCAGTGCGTTAGTTCAGGGATTAGCTCAATCCCTGCTATGAAATCACGCTATCTGAATCCTCTAAATTTTACGTTTGTATCGGTATAATAAAACAGTTAAAAGTATATCATTGCGAGAGTTAGCAAGATTCCAGTTCCCCTCGACCAGGACTATTTCCCTCGGCTTTGCCCAGGAAAATAGTCCTGGCCTTTGGGAAATGGAATCTTGCTAACTCCCTCAAATATATATTTTAACTGTATAATGACTCTCGGTTTCCTCTTTAACACATACTGAATTTAGATCATACTAATTTCGAGATTCATTCATTTGAATTTGAAAAATATTCAGTTTACTCTCAATAGTACTATCTAAGATAAACATTTGAACTTGTTTAATTTTCAAAATCTCTATATAATGTGTTTGCATTTGTTCTATCAAGACCATATTAAGTTACATTTATTGTATATATATAATCTAGGACTTATTTTGCACTGAATGCTAGCACATATATACACGGGTACCTGCTGGAATAAGGATGCAATCCCCTGACAATAGTGTGGCGTGGTTCCAGGGAGTCCTGGAGACGTCAGTAAACTTAAACATGTTTACTTTGTCTACATCAATAGGAGAGTGACCAGAGCCAGAATTTTTATACTAGAATTAATCAATGACTTGCAATTAATGCTTTGACAATTACTTCAGAGCAATAAAAGTCAATCTCTTTCCTTCTAAAACTTCTAAATTGAACATTATTTAAATTAAATTAAATGTAAAATTAATTCGGTTTTTGAAAACTGCAGCTTGTGAAATTATTCAATTTACACAAATGAAAAAGTTTAAGAAGATCCAGGCATATTTATCGAAGGGAAAACTATATACATGAACTTTGGGGACAAGAATCAAGATAATTCTTAACGTATTTGATTACATAAACTATCTTACGAAAAATAATTGTTAAAAATTATAATGTGTAATCATGAAAGAATGTTTACATTTTCTTCATAATGAAAGTTCCATTTGTATTTTTCATCGATGATAATGAAATCCTTCCTGCCGAACAACACGCAATGAAGGTCGTGGTCTTCATGACTGTGGAGCCGAGACGATGTGCCACCGCTACTCATCCATAAACGTGCTTCATAGAGCCGCTCGTAGAAGGTACCACATTTCAAACAACTTGGCAACTGAGCATCAAAAAAAAAAAAAAAACCAAAACAAAACGTGAACATGTAAAAGCAAAGCAGTTATATCGTTGCAACATACAATATATAATTATAGGCAAATGCATAATTTATTAGGTGCCTATAAAATAAGTACACTGTACACGCCAAAATCATAAAAAAATATTATCATTATGTAAAAGATAAACTATCATTTACAAATGGATATATGCAGGACGATATCAACGAATCTTGCATCCTATGGCATTTTGGAAATCGTCTATTACTTTTCTCATGCTTTATACAATATCTATTCTTACTATCTGAATGGATTGAAAATCAGGCAATGCTCATAAATACCCTAGCTCTCCACGGATATAAAAAAGTCAATGTTTTTACAATATAGTTGGGAAAAAATGACAAGAACATGGCTTGAGTTATGCATACCGGAAGTTCGGCCATCATTTTTTTAGGCACCGAAGTAACGAGGTACCATTCCTCATACATGTAGTCCATTAGAAACTTCTTTAACTTCATCACATGCTGCTCGTGCTGCACATGCTGTTGAACTGCTTGTCTCTTCACTGTCACCGTTACATTCAAATCTCCAAAACTTAAATCCAATGTAGTAATTACTTAAGTAAATTAAGTACAGTCATGTATACAATGATATATTCAAGGTAATGAGACAAAACAAGTATAGCTATTTCCAAAAAGCTTTGCCGTCTTTAGCAGCAACCTTAAACAGTAAAATGACCTACATGTAGCTACACCTATCAGACCATATTACTCTTGAGTAGTTTGATGACTTGGCTATTTATTTCTTCAACAGTTTTTTTAAAGACATTAGCCCTACCATATGAAAGACAGTGAAAAACAAAAAAAAAAAATCAACCCAATTTTAATGATTACATCCAAAAAAAAAAAAGAACATTTCTGTTAACCATGAAAAATAGATACACCTTTAATAGTTGCTATAAAAAATTATTGCAGCCCGGAGGACCGGGCTGCTCTATACATATAAGTTTAAGTGATGGTATGTGGGGATTGAGGTGGGAGAAGTTATTCAGAATTAAAGGTTTTCTAAACATTAAAAAGATTGTTAATCAGAATGTTCTTTCCCTTTATAAATTACGAGATACACAATATATTTACTTCCATAAAGTGAATCTGTAAAAATATATATGTTTTTCATATTCAATATATAAAGTTGCTTATCATTTACCGTCGAAAAAACGACAGGTCCCTTTTTTTAGAACATCGAATTTTACTTATCGCATAAAAACGTAAAAATGTACTTTACACAGTTCGTGTTTTATATTCTTAAAGTGAAAGATATTTTTGAAAATAGGTGATGCATGTGTCTGGTTTCAAATTATATTTTATGCAGCCAACATTTACTTGAGGAATTGATAAAGTTTAAAAGGGTATCGTTTTTGTTCGATTTTCATCCGACTATAAGTTTTCAAAATATTCTCGACTATCGTCTCCATCATTTAGACGCATGCCTTTTTCACACATATCGAAGCGGTTTGATGATAAAGACTCAATTTCCATTGTTTACTTTATTTATTTCCCAGGCCACAATTGATGGTTACATCAATGTTTTCTTGTATTGTTAGTTTCATTTCATGCAATTTTCTTCTGTTCGTTTTGTCAACTTTTTTACGATTGGAAATCTTGAAGAATTGTAAGTCGTACGAAAATTAGTAATTGTAACTACTCGGCCATCTCCCTAACCGCAAATTTTCACATCATGTATTTTCTACAAATCACAATTAAGAGAGGAAGTGCACTATCCGAAGACTATAGAATACTTCAACTCTGTACACCGTCTTTCAATGAATTCCATTACTAACGAAAGTTTATCATCAACAAATGATGAAGTTCTGTAAATGTCCGTGAAAATTTTGCATTTGGTGATCTTTGCATTTTTATGCTTAAATGAACGAAAATAATTTAAAAGATGGTTAATTTCAAACAATATTATACAAATAATTTATTGCCAATTCAATATGTGGGCATCGTACACAATAAACATATAACAAACCATGCAGTTATAATTTCATATAACATAGATGAAAAACAATTAAAGGTACCAAGGGACGATGCATAAGAAATTTCTTACTATTTTCTTGTAGCCCATAACTTACTGTTGCTTAAGGTAGACATCGATCTCCCAGTTTTTCATGACCTTGACATCCTGAAGGCCGTCGTGTATAAGGACAGGTTTGTTGTTCTTGATGTACTTTACATATAGAGAATGCGCACTCGGCATTTCCGGTGTCTCCATAATCCTACCACTGGATCTTTTCTGCCAGCCTATGTACGTAAAGCATATGAGATAGAATGATTTGACTATAAATGACTTGTTGTTAAACTATTGAAACTAGTCCCATTAAATGATAAACCTGGTATTCCGGAAAAAAATACTGAAGCATCCACTTTCATCTTGATACTTGTATGTGAAAGAAAAGAAAACATGACTTACCTTTTAGCTTATTTATAAAAAAGAATAGTTTTAATGAATATAAAATTTTAAAGAGTTGAAAGCCTACCTAAAGGACGGAGGTGACCATCAGGAATTCCTTGACCGGAAGGGACGATGTAGGGCGGAAATAAGACATCCATCTTCTGATCCTTAGGAAAACCAACTTTCGAGAAACAGTAGTGTAGAACTGCTGATAAAATTAGTATGGTGACATGTAAAGGAGTCATCGTCTATCCCGAAGGAATGGCAAGAAACCCGAATATATGTGCAAGAAAAATGCACTTTCTTGTTAAAATTGCACGTGTGTAGAAGACGTTCTCGCCACGTCATACCTGGGTTGTATTGATGTCTATAGCACACCTTTTGTTGCTTATCGAACTGATTTGGTTGTTCCTCGCGACATATGTTGATCCGGGCTCTCGGGATATGGCGTTTTTAAGTGATAAATTGTAGGCTTAATCGATTTAAACTAAGCAAACTATCAACTTCTGTTTACAAAATGAAAATGTTCGCCTTTTTTGCAAAATCCAATGTAAAGATAAAAAACTGAATTCACCTTGTTTCCATTTTGCGGAATATGATACTTTTGCACATCTCCTCGATACGAAATACATGGGATGCATCCGTTTAAATATAAATACAAGACTATATTGTCACAGGGGATTTTATCAACTTACACTCTTGTTATTCCAGTGTGAGCAAACTTACTCAATAGATATTATGATTTTTTTTATATTTATATAAATGCTATAGGTGTTGTGATGGACAAAGAAATCTAATAAAAATAGAGACGCGAGAATTATGCTGTCTTTTTATTCAAATAAATCTAGAGGATTTTTGTTTAAGTATTATGAAAACTGGAAAAAGAGATAATAATATTATACTTCATTTTTTCTGAAAATGGATTCCATTAAAAGAAAGAAAAGAAAAGAATTCTGGAATATTGTGATCAGGCAGGTTCGTTAACCGACAGGCAGATACCGGTATGTGGGAGAGCACTTTGGTTCGGTTGCACGACAAAAATTTGATAGAGTTTCCTCTCTTGGATTTATGTTACAGGTAGTATTTTCAAGTAGGTGTATACTTGTATTTAGTCTTGACCCTCACTGGATTTCTTCCTCGACACATGCACATACGGCAACATTATTAAAAATTATTGGTTTTTTCCTTCATTGTTTCAGATTAAATCTTGAATATAATTTTTTTATGAAATGCTCATGCAGTTAATCCCATGAAAACATTTTTATGTCTGGTCAGTCATTGTACATCGCCTCAGTTTTCTCCAGAAAATTTCACAGAAGTCATTCGGTTTGATTTTTTTTTTCAAGAAAATGTACATGTAGCAACTAATGAACATAGAGAACCGCAAAGCAATGCATCGAATTACTACATTACTAAAATCAATACTAAAGGACTGTGGTGGCTAATTGGAAACGGGTGTCCTTTTTCGCCATCCATATGGGTGCTATACTTCAATCTCAACGTAAGTCATCTGAGAACAAAATAATATGAGCATTATGGTCATATTTCTCTTGTTTTAATTAACATAAGGTTCATCATTATGACTAACTTTTGAGAAAAAAAATGATATTGTCAATTAGACGATTGACATATGAACCATGAATTCTTAAAATTTTATCCCTCAAACATTAATAAAAACGCAAAATAACCAGTATTACATGTTTGTAAGGACCGAGTGATCAGTGATTGATTCTCATCAGGTGTGTCCTTGGTAATCAATCGCAGGTAAAATACTTAGCACTCAGGTAGATGTACAACATTCTTGTTACGCATTATTAAGCGGTTGAGACATTGCGCGTGAGTTTACACGACTGTTGCGTAACATTTCTCAGCTGTTCTTCGTTTATATTCGTTTGTAGTTTGTGACTAAATGGATTGATTTAAATTGCTGTGTTGGTGAATCGTAAGAAAGATTTAAAAATCGCTACACTTGCACACCGACCTATTGCCGTGGCGACCGATAGAAAATATAAATAAGTATACATAAACAATCAACTGTGTCGGCGAATTTTCTCGTTCACATTGAGTATTTCAACCTCTGCCAAGTTAGCACGGGATTTCATTAACCAAAAACGACATGGATTAATAATTACGCACTTTGGATTTTAAAGATTTGCAGAAGAATTTCATATTATGGCACATGGTGCAGTGTTTTGATTTTAAAGAACTAGAACCCGGTATTCAGTCGTCGAACTATAAGGATGGATCTACAAATGAAATTATGTGACAGCGTGACGGGTTCTCTCAGCAGGACCCCTAGTCTGAAGCTGAAAGTATTTCGGAAACTTTTAGATGAGAAGAATTCAGAGGAGAACAGGAAGATTCGCCGGCACACGCCCGTGGGGTCGGGTGAATACAGTGTAGGATGTTGGGACATGATGTGTGGGGGGCCCACGGATAAAGGAACATTCTTTAGACTATTTTATCCCGTGGAGAAAACTGATATTTATGTAAGTGATGAAAAACGTGATTCATTTATTTCAGCTTATCATCGGGATCTCTAAAATACATTTCTGATTTTTTTTCCAGTGGAGATGCACATTTGTTTATTCTATTTGCAAACATTCAAAGTTATCTAATTAAATTCTAAGCCACTTATTACTATTTATAAGCGGAGGTAGAATTCAGGATATTTCCAGTCAGTCCCAGTTCAAAACCAAGTCATTTTGATAGCTAAACAAAAACATGACTTTCAATCAGCTTATCGGATTATGATAGAGGGAAAACTAATTCATGTACATTCAATATTTTAAATATCTACGTATCTTCAGAATATATCTTTTAATTATCATTCCTGAACGGGGCCGTAGAATTCTTGGGACCAGGATCCCGCCCCCTCAATCATTTTTCGAATTTTTCAAATCAAAGAAAAATTTTACCCCTCCCAAAAATCTGTGAAAGGTTGCATTTGGGTCATTCTTATATCCCACATATTTTAAAGTCGCTGATACAGGTTGCCCTAATTAATCCATTTTTTTGAAAAATAACTGTTGCATTCGTTCGATGATACTTAAAATCTTATATGGTTAATCTCATATGTTTTACAGAAAAGAGACAAACAGTGGCCACTGTGGTTACCAAGGAAACAATATGGCGAAGGATACGCAGACATTGTTACGAAAAACCCCAGAATAAAAGTTTTTGGCAAATTGTTTAATTGGATGGGAGGTATATTTAGAGAATTACCAAAATTATGCAAAATTTTAAAACTTCAAGACTTTTTACATTAACATGCATATTCTCTTATTTTAAGGTTCTAATTAAATGTTTCACTCATTAAGTATATATATTTATTGTATATTGATTTAATTATTGTGATCTCGTAAAACATATCAAAATTTCTCTACAGGGGATGTGTATGTTCCCGCCCTTTGGCAGGGTCCCCTATGTCCCTCCAACACAAAATTCCCAGTGGTCATATTTTCGCATGGATTAGGCGGAAACCGGACGACGAACACGACAATGTGTTGTGAGCTGGCCTCCCAAGGGTTTATTGTAGCGTCCATAGAGCACAGGTATATCACATTATTTACCACATATATACAAAATAATGTTCATGCAAATGTTATTACGTTAAGTTTTCAATAAAATGACTGACTTATTAGTATTGACAATAAAAAAGTAAATCTGACAGCTTTTTCTTGAGCTAAGTAAAATCTAAACTTTATATTACCTAATTATTAATTTAATCTTGAACACCCCCCCCCCCACATGCAACCCCCCCCCCCCCCAAAAAAAAACTTTGAATCGTAAAGAAATTTTAAAAAATATTTCAATATAATTTCTATGACTAATCAATGATCTGATTTCACAGAGATGGATCAGCTTCCATGACGTATCACTTATCAGAGGAAATCAATAGGCACCATGTAACTACAACCGCGGAATCGAACTCCCGACCTCACAGTCGCCACACCATTCACCGAACCCATCTGTACTCGGAGGAATGGAAACCATTCGAGTGGTTCGAACCCTGGGACGACTTCACGTATAGAAACAAACAGGTAACTAAACCCACTGCACCGTTATACTAACTCAATCAAAGCATTATATGTCAGATAGAATAGATATTGTTCAGTTATTGAACTGAATTATATCATAATAATTTCGTGTAATTTGTTAAATTGTATAATTCATTGCTTGGTAAGTGAGACGAATTCCTGTTGTCAGCAAATTCTTGTCAAATGCAAATTGTTTGTTTTGTTTGTTAGTTTTTTTCACTAAGCACATGCAAATAAATCACTGTATAACTATTGTAGGTTCATCATCGTGCAGATGAGGTAATTCAGGCGTTAGACAATTTAGTCTTACTACATAATGGCAAAGAACTACATAATTCCATGAGAACTCACTTCAATACCAAGCAATTTATGGTGAGTACGAATTGTGAAACGACAAGAGTAAAACGGAAAGATAATGGTTTACATGGGCTAACTAGTTACACTAAAGAGCGGGATAATTGTGTAGTTCAAGTGTACATGAGAAAAATAAAAGTAAACGGGCGTTGTGTGAATTGCTTACTCATCGGCAATCAAAAAAAGTAGGAGTTTAAAAAAAATATACAAATAAAGTACATGGAATAGCCTGTAAGAAATCTCTTTTGGCTGAATAATGCATATTAAGTCAGTGCATTCATGCATGTAGACAATTTTTAATAAACAAGTGTTATATATAGAAAATATAAAACTTGTACCAGAGTTTTATATGAAAGATTTGTAAAAAGCCAATAAAATGAATACGTTGCATGTGGCAAATGTTTTCACCTGCTCTTTCAAATTTTACAGAAACTTATTTAAAAAAAACCCCGTTGAATGAACAGTTTGAAGATTCACCATGCAGAGTAGAGAATTTTAAAGAAGAATTTAATATATATTTAGTGCAATGTACTAAAGGAATTAAAACTTTAGAATGGAAGATAAACCATGAATGTTTTTGTAGATACATAATTTAATACTCATTGCAAATCTATAACATATCATTTTGAGGCAAATCCAAGTTATACTAATTGTATGAGAGAGAGAGAGAGAGAGAGAAACAATATAGATAAAACATCAGTGATGTACATTACAGAATCGACTAGATTTATCCAGAGTGGTTGTAATGGGCCATTCTTTCGGAGGTGCTACTACACTATGTACCTTGTCCAAAGACAAACGATTTCGGTGAGTAATTTTGATGATTTTTCCACCCACAGGATCTTGTTGACCGGACCATCTCCCCTAAACCCAGATCCCAGGGATTTTCCATTTATTTTTTTTTTCATAAATTATTGTTTTAGCACACATTTACAATGTGTTTTTTATGAGAAATTAAAAAAAAAGTAGAATAAGCGTTCGATTACAAAATCATATGTTTGTGGTACTATGATAATATACCGTCCAACCTTTATTTTCACTGCAGAAAATAGAAACACCTCTAAAAGACGACATTAGATCTATAAGTGGTATTTAAGTAAATTGCTTAAACCCTGTCCCAGATTTGGCTATGAAAGTCTTTAAAAATTATATAAGCTTTGACCGATTTTTTTTTTTTTTTGAATACAGTGTATTTAAATTCCATTAATATCTAACTATTTGAACCTCGTACTATTTGCATTAAAGTATAATCATTCTAAAACCCTTTACGTCATTCAACGGGATTAAAATTTCTACTTTCCAGTTTTTAATAATAGACACTGTTTGTTGTTACGTTTCCACGACACAGCTTTTTATGTCGCCGTCTCTGTCGCAGTATACACACTATAGCTGTGATCTTGGTGATTGCAGCCATCAATATTTCAGATGATAAGTAATTATAGTGATAAAAAATAAGTTCGACTTTGAAGCTTTGATTTCAATTCTAGACTATGTTGGTGACAAACTGTTATTGATCGAAACAAACCGGCAACCAAGGCATTGTTGTATTAATAATTGAATGTGGAGACATCATTTTTAACTGTTCAAGTGAACAAAATAGAAACTCTAAGCCCTCGTTTCTGTCTCGTATATTAAAACATTAAATCTATATTTAATTAACACGTATGAATTGGATAAAAATTCTAAAAGCTTATCACACCTTTTCTTTTTATGTATAGATTAAAAAAAACATTTTACATATATGGCCCACAATCTTAGCAATGAAATTATTCAGCTTCTAAAAGACAATAGTCCACTTTTATGTGAAATCGTACAACTTTCTAGTAGTTCAGCTCATCTTGGCATTAAGTAATTTAAGTGGATGATATTTCACAGAGTGGGCGTGGTTTTGGATGGTTGGATGCATCCACTGGATGAGGAAATCTATGGAAACATCAACCAACCCGTCCTGATGCTAAACATGGAATCCTTTCAGTGGAAAACTAATGTAGAACAAATGATGAGACTGATGACGGATGACACAGAAAGACGCAGCATGATCACCATTAAGTAGGTCTTCATTAACTTTTTAATTAATTCATATAATCATCATTGTCTTGTTATCATCGTAAGCAAAATGGTGAATCGAGATAAAATTAATAAAATTAAATATGCACACTATTTAGAATATACGGTGGTGAAAAAGTTGTTTTTGACCTATCAAAATAAAGGCGTTTCAAGAACTCAAGAAATACTAGACAAGAAAAACAAACTTGTGCGTGGTTGTACATTGTATAACAATTTTGTTGCGGTTTTGTTATACGCGTAAGTTTGTTTTATCATTATGTGTAATGACAATACAATGAAAGATGCAGATTAAAATGGATGTTTGTTAGATGACTATTATCGTCGTAGTATTACCAGCCTTTTCCCCCGTGAAAATGTCATAAAAACGACTGAATATGAATGAACAGAAAGGAGGGAGAGTGATAAAATAGGCTATGCCTGCTGCCCAAATCCCATTAACTTTTTGCGAATAAAATTATATATTAAAAAAGAACAGAAATCACCGTTACTTGCATAACGGGGAAAATATATACAAATGTATAAAATTATACAATAAATTTAAATAATGTCTGATAAAGTATAAAATTATCTTGGTCTTACAAACGTTCAAAATACTTAAATCGATTACAAATTGTGTCCTATACAATAAAATTTAGTTTATTCTATTATACATTTAAGTGTAGATCATCTAACTGCAGCAAATAAGTTCCATGGAATTAGAAATCTTCAGTTCACATTGTTTAGAGCCTCTTTCATAACTTCGTGTAAGTATATAAAAAGAATCGTTGCAAATGACAAAACAGTTTAACTGCATTAATCTGGCAACCATTCAAAGACGTATGTTTTGCTCGAAAAACAACATATATATTTTTCATCTATCAGCCTCCTTAATAAATACAAACTTAAGAAATTAAACAAAAGAAAAGAACCCCTAGTACTATGTGAAAATGGATCGTCCTTTCATCGTCAAAATGATGAGATGGTAAACATTTGAGTTCTAAGTCATCACTTTTTGATATATTTTTTTTACCTGTTCATAATCTAATGCATGTGTAGGTGTTGAAGACCTCTAGTAGGAGTATAAACGATAAACCGCAAACCAAATATGTCATTATGAATGGGAATTGTGTGTACCGAAAAACCGCAGAATTATACCTTAAGAGAGTACAAAGTCCACGTTGTCGAGCGAGTAAATAAAGGTGTCTCTCGTTTATCGATTATAAATCTCGAAAAATTATTAGCATTTATTTAACACATTTCATAAACAGTAATATATATTTCATATATCTCAATTCATCCCAAGACAAAAGAAATCAACAATGAACTATTCACAATATAATATAGGGTCAAGAATGAGTGTAATGAGCGAAACTTTCTATATGGACACGAGGGCTCTTATTAAAAAAAAAAACGCTGGCGTCAAGTTCTTTTAAAAGGCTAAAGCGTTCGTAATTGAACAAGAATCTCCATCTACGGTTTATATATATATATATATATATATATATATATATATATATATATATATATATATATATATATATACATATATATATATACATACATATATATATATATATATATATATATATATATATATATATGGTTGTGCCATTTAGGAGACCGCTCATATTTATATATTGGCATTAAGTAGCCTCGTAGAATAAGTAGACCAAAACCGGTCGCCTTAACATTTTGACCCTCTCTGAACAGAAAATTAATGACTTTTTAATATTAAATTGACAATAGTTAATTTAAGTTTAGTATATTTTTGTCCCTTAAATACCAAAAATATGCCAAAAATTTATGATTATCGAAATTTTTAAATTTAAATTTCAAGCAACGTATATATTGGTATTATTATATATCGTCATTATGTAGACCAGCTAAAACTTGCAAAATTAAGTAAGATCTGCTATATATGTCTTATTTCTCCTAGTATTTAGTTTTAGATATTGTTCTCCCACTAATTTTGGGTATGTACAATTTGCTAAATAGAATAAAACTTTTTACGAGAAAATGAGCTTTAGAGTTTCGTGTTCATCAACTTCAAGGTTTTCGTGCGCAATGCCTTCCGAAAATTTTCGGAAATCCTCGGTATCCTTTACGACCTTCGGAGAAATAGGAGTCAGACAAAATTTTGGTAAGTAATAACAAATTATGATTTTTTAAATATACTTATTCATGATACATTGACTATATATTATGCACCCAATATCTTGCGGTTAACGTCTGGTATTTATTCATTGATAAAGACTTGCGTATACTTATTAGCATGGAGGAAATTCGAATTGTAGTTTACCAACAGCGTGGTTTCAACAGATCGTTTGTTTGTTTTGAACATATTTTATTGACATAAGCAAATGGATCGGAAACAAGTTCTTACAACTTACTGGTTCCTAACAATTGATTACTTGAACAAAATAATTGTAATCTGTGCTTATTCATAAATATATACTTAATATTAGGCTGGTGGTATCGTTCTTGCGGAGATAAATATTCGATAATTTACCCGAAATACTAACTCTAATTTCCTATTATACGTGGGGTAGGTTGGGTTGGAAATGGGAGAAAGGTGTTTCTAGGTTCAAACTTTTTTCACAGCCTAATCCAACCAGCCTTTCCTGATCAATTTTAATAGTAAAAGATTAATTGGGGGAGGGGAGGAGCCCCCCACCCCACCCCCGGCAACCACGATACCACATCTCTGATGTCTATGGCAGCGAATACATGCATGCATATATGTACATACAAATTTATGTATCTGACAGCATCCCTCTTAGATTTCTTGTACATAAAACATAAAGTTGATTTGGACAAGCCCAATATAGTAACAATTTTGAAATATCTTTAAAAAATAAAGAGGAATTAAGGGCTACAAACTGCTAAAAAATTCAAAGGGACCAGATTAATATTTTTAATCGGGTTAGAAGTGGGGTTTGGGTGCAGGATGTGTGGAAATATTTTGTGGTGTATATTCCATATATGTAAAAAGGCTGTAGGCTACACATCATTTTTTTAAGGATAGAAATTTGGTTGAAAAGGGGGGGGGGGAAGTTGATGATAAATGTTATCTATTAATTTCATTTTGTTGCAAATGCCAAAAAAAAAGCATTTTTGACAATGCGCATTTTTGTACCCATACTTACAGTCTAACTTTCTGTTTAATGACAAAAATAATCCTATAACTGGAAATAAAAATCAAGCCAAAATTCAAGTGTTATATTAGGTCTGCATCAGCCTCCTTGCTTACCCATTATTTGCGCCTCAAGTTAAATCTGTGACATCACACTAGCAGACACATTACATGTAGTAGAAAGTAATAATATTATTATACACCAATGATATTCTAATCAATCTATTACACTGTACCTTTTGGCATGAATGGAGGATTAATTAACAGGTTATATTAGAGATGAGCATATCAGTTAATAGTTATATGTATTACACCTTCCATGATTGAGTAACAAAAGATATACTGTATAATTCTTGCAATATTTTTTCTATAATAGTAGACTCAGTTAACATCACCACCGTTAAAGAGTTTCGATCTACAGCACTGCTGATTTAATTTCCCAGATTTTATTAGAGATCTACAAGTACCTTTACAGGTCACTTAATTAGTACATGTATCTCAAATTTAATTGGGCAAATGAGAATTTTGTCTTTAACAACTTAATTAAATGACTCAAAAATGTATTGCATGTTCAACATGATCAAGGCAAATTATTTCCTTTATCATGAATTTATTCTCAATTTATGGGAGAATATATTTATAATTATGAAAGTACTAGTAAATCAGTCTACACATAAGTAAGAATTACCTCAACTATTTGAATTACTTTGCAGAATTTATTGCATTGTCTTTATTACTTAACAATCATGTAAAACTTTATTTCATGGCCGTAGGAACGGGGGGGGGGGGAGGGGGGTGCCCCCAATAATTTTGCCGAAATATAGAATACTAAAGAAAACATGGCTACTATATGCTTGTGCCCCCTCAATAAAAACGCCTGATGACCTTTTTTTTTCTTTTTTTTTTTTTAAAGCTTGTCAAGGAATTTTTGGTTGTTAGTGCCCCCCAAAGAAAATGCATGGCTGTCCCCCCTCCCCCAAACTGAAATTGCTTCTTACGGGCCTGTATTTATTGATTTTTTTTTTTTATGTTTCATTTATTTATAAACCTATTAAGTGTTTCATTTTGAAAAGAAATATTAGAAGATATAATCATAATTTCAAAAAGAAGTTGAAATTAAATAATAAAAGGGACCCGAAGAAAAATTGCTTGTTGTCATGAAATTTAAGCATTTTTTTTTTTTTTTACATATAATGAAAAAGATACTGTTTATCTTATGCAGTTGCCATGGAGAAATTAACTTGCTTATACTCTCAATTTAGTTATAAAACCATAATCTTACTTATCGCGTATTTACCGTAAATTATCCCCACGTCTATTTTACATTTACAGTAGATGGTTTTCCTTTCTATGATATTAGACTGCCTGGCGTAATACAAAGTAAAGTAAAACCATTTTTTACTTTTTACGGATTTAAGGAGGTTGGATCCTGCCATCAAAAGTAATGAGAATTTTTTATCAAGTATATTTTTAGAATCTACACACATAGCTTAATTAAAAATCAAAACAAAAAATGGGGGTCAATGCGCTTCTATTGGCGCTACAGAGCATTTAGTTTGACTTTTTGCACTGTAAATACGTCTTACACATAAATCAATTTTTAAAGTTTTTCCTCCAATATTTTTTATTCTAATAATTTATGGGAACAAACAGGGTCCTATTTCATCTTGAAGAGACACATTAAAATTTGTGACAACAAAAAGTTTTCAAATTACTTCGGCTGTTTTAATTATTTGAACTTTTTGCACTCAAAAATATCATTTTTCTGGCATTAAAAATTTAACAAGCAATAAAATCATTTGAAAGTAATGACATTTTGCTGAATTTAAGAAGAATGGTTAAAAGTATCACATATATTCAGAAAAGAAAA